CCAGCAGGAGCGAGGTCAGGCCCGGGGCACGGGGCCTGAGCAGGGGGACTCCCGGGTTAGAGCCTGAGTGAATGAATGCGTGGAACTGATTTATTTGAAAGGCCGAAAAATGGAACCAGAGAGACAGACAGCTCCCGCCCGCCAGCTCAGTCCCCACAAATACCTTCAACAACTGCGGCTGGACCAGGCTGAAGTCAAGAGCTGGGAACTCAATCCTTGCCTTCCACAAGGGCAGCAGGGACCCACGTACTTGAACCATCACCTGCTGCCTCCAGGGTGCACATTAGCAGGAAGCTGGAGTCAGAAGCAGAGCCGGGACCTGAACCCAAGTGTGCTGTTAGGGGATGTGGGCTTTCCAAGTGACGTCTTAACACCTGTGCCAAATGCCTGTCCCCTCCCACTCCACTCCCCCTACCCCGGCTTTGACCTTTGGCATCCATGTAGCGTGGGTTCAACTCCTAAGACATGTCTTAAGCAGGCGATGTCACCTCTTGGAGTCTCAGTTTCTCTTAAGAAAATGTGTCACCAACAGGAGGGGCCTTCAAAAAGTTCATGGACATTTCAGAATTCAAAGATACGCTTATTTTGGTGCAAAACCATTTTTGAAATCGATCCATGGGTCTGCAGGGTCTTCAAAAAGTTCACAGAAAATGTCACTATGAAAAGGCTGGGGGTTTCTACCTTTTTTTTTTTTTTCAGTATCTTTCATCTTTCTAGATTTTTGTTTCTTTTTAATCTTTTTAATTTCTTGTATTTCTGGGTATGTTTCAATTCCATTTTCTCCCCAACTTGTTGAAGTACTCTCATACCTGCATCACCAGCTTGTCAGACAGAATCACGTCATCTGGCATTTATTGCATTTAGCTCAGGAATACTGCCCCTGAGTGTACGGATAGCAAAAGGCACGGGCCCCAGCTGGGCTCCGCCCGGGTCAGCGGCACGCCTCACATCACATGTTCTGGTTAGGATGCCTGGGTTTTACTCTCTCATCAGGAAAAGCAGTAACAACATCCGGAAAAGCAAATCCCATCTGGGGAGCAGGGTGGGGCCTGGGGCCGTTCTGTGGGCCTGGCTAGGAGCTTAGATCAAGAAAGAGAATCGGGAGCGGGGGGCCTGTCCTGCCAGGGCTGTGCGCAGGGGTCCCCTCTCGGGACCTCCACACAGAGCCTCACGATTTAGGGCACCTGCCCCCGTGGGAAACCGGCCAGAGCTCCAAGGCCAGCTCGCTCCCCAGCTAGAACATACGTGCGTGTGCATGCGTGTGAGTGCATGAGAGCCGGGGGAAGTTTCCCAAACCTCTGCCCAGCTCCGGGCTTTGCTCAGCGTGGAGTGCTCTCCGGCCCTGCCCCTGGTGCCCAGCCCACCCAGGCCCTTGCCCGTCCACGGCCCTGCTGCCAGCCGCCAGCCCCAGCCGTCTGTTGTGGCAGATGTTTTTGGCTGTGCCATGGCAACGCCAGAACAGGATGTACCTCTGGGCCGCAGCAGGGACGAGCCCACGTGCACAGGCCGCCCGTGCGGTCCCCTCCCTGGAGGCTTTGCTGGGAAGGGCTGATCGGGTCCAGGTCTGGGACTGGTGGTGTTTGTGTCTGGAGAGAGGCAGGCCCGTCTCTGCCACGGGGTCAGTGGAGGACGCACCGGCAAACACCAGCCGAAGCCTCCTTCTCAAAGGGCTTGTACTCGCATCCTGCGGCCCTTCCCGGAGATGCTGGGGGAGCAGGACAGGAAGCCAGCCGGGGCCTGTCGGGGACGGCTGGCCAAGGTCTTCCCCACTGCTCGGGCGACTACGCACATTGGGCCTGCCCTGTGCCGGGACTGGACTAAGTGCTTTCTGTAGGAAACAACACTAAAACTCTGGGGTATCTGCGTTGTGCTAACTGTACAGCGCTCACCTTCCAGCCAGGGCCGCGAGGTTCGTCCTGGTTTTCAAGGGAGGAAATGGAGACACAGAGATTAGATCACTTGTCCTGGGCTTCCGCGTGCATGTGTTAGGGGCTAGGGTTGGGACTCACAGGTGTCTAAAACCCTCGATCCAACCGCGATACTGCCAAGGCCTGCTGTATCATCTGCGAGGCCCAGTGCACGGTGAGGAGGCTGAGCCCACTGAGGAATTACAAGGGGCTTTCTTTTATGTATATAAACAATATTTATCTGTTTGAAAGGGAGAGCGAGAGAGATTTTTCCTGTCCGCTGGTTCCCCTGCCAACAGCTGGGGCTGGGCTGGGCCAGGCCCAAATCAGGAGCCAGCAACTCTCTCTAGGTCTCCCACACGGTGGCAGGAACTCAAGCACTTGGGCTGCCCCCTGCTGCCTACCAGGTACCACAGCAGGAAGCTGGACTGGAAGCCAGGAGTAGCCAGGATGCGATCCAGGCTCGAGGGAAGAACCGTAACGGACGATGTGACATAGGCGCTCCCCCAAACTCAGGATTCTTGCATACACAGATGCCTGGTGGTGTGACCCCAGGGTCTAGCCCCAGCATACTAGGCTCTGGCTGGGAGTCCCAAAGAGACGGAGACACGGCCCCTGCCCCAGGGCAACCGGCTCAGGCAGTCCCTGGTGTTCCCACCCTCCAAGCCTTGATGAGGGAGCAGGGACTGTGGCATGGCACGTGTCACGCACTGTCAGCGCTGCACCTAGCACACTGGTGCGATCTTCTTCGTCCCTTCCTTGCTGTGTGGCCCTGACCCTTATCCCTTAACTTCTCTGAGCATCTCTGTAAGTCACATCGGCTATGATGACCAACTTGGAAACATCCAGCCGGTCCTTGGGGTCTGTGGATTCCATCAACTGCAGATGGAAAAACACTAAAAAAAAACAAAAACAAAAAAACTTCATGTGTTTTTGGGTCATTATTCCCTAAACATGATAGAGAATTTATATTTTTTTTTTTCATTTGACAGGCAGAGTTAGACAGTGAAAGAGAGAGAGAGAGAGACAGACAGACAGAGAGAAAGGTCTTCCTTCTGTTGTTTCACCCCCCCAAATGGCCGCTACGGCCGGAGCTACGCTGATCTGAAGCCAGGAGCCAGGTGCTTCCTCCTGGTCTCCCATGTGGGTGCAGGGCCCAAGCACTTGGGCCATCCTCCACTGCCTTCCCGGGCCACAGCAGAGAGCTGGACTGGAAGAAGAGCAACTGGGACTAGAACCCAGCACCCATATGGGATGCCGGCGCCACAGGTGGAGGATTAGCCAAGTGAGCCATGCGCCGGCCCGAGAGAATTTATATTGTATTAGATAGCACTCTAGAGACAATTCAAAATATGTGGGAAAGGGCTTCCACTTGAGATGTGTGCATTCCATATCGGAACGCCTGGGTTTGAATCCCAGCTCGGATCCCAGCTGCTTCCAGCTTCCTGCTCGTGCACACCCTGGGGGGCAGCCCTGACGAAGTAAGTGGTTGGGTCCCTGCCTCCCATGGGAGACCAGGATGGAGTTCCTGGCTCCCCACTTTGGCCTAGCTCAGCCCTGGCTGTTGTGGGCATTTGGAGAGAGACCCAGCATATGGAAGATCTGTCTCTCAAATAAAATAAACAAACAAGACTTCACAAATAAGTGTTTGGGAGGCTGTGAGTTACGTGCCAACACCACGGCATTTTATGTAACAGCCTTGAGCATCGTAACGGGGACAACCTTCTGTCAACCCCTTGCAGCGAGTTCTCAGTTTATTTCCCTTCCTCCCTCTCCTCTCCTCATCCCTGCCAGCACCGCCAACAGCAGCCAGCGCTTAGTCAGCACGTACTGTGCGCCAGGCGAAGGGGGTTTGCATTCACCATCAGTTAGCTCTCAAATGATCAGTGCCACGAGGCTCGGACGATGCTGTGGTTCCAGAACCAGAGGCGCTCCCCAAGGCAGCACAGCACTTCCGGGAGGGTCTGCTTCAGCGGCCGGCGCCCGCACACCCTCTCCTGGGTCGGAGGCCGCTGCTGTCAGTGGCGCCCTTCCACTTGCTGGGAAGCGTTTACAAGGAAAGTAATTCCAGGCTGACACCGGACTCTTTGACAAGCCGACTTCGGGAGGCATGAGCACTTTCCCTTTAAAGGCAAAATATGGCGAAGAGGACGTGGGGGAGGGAGCACACCTGTGTCCATCCTCCCCGACCTTGCGGTGCATTGGATTGTCCAGAGGCTGGGAGCTTCATCTCTTTTTTAAAGTTTTTTTTTTTTTTTTTTTTTTTTTTTTTTTTTTTAATTCAAAAGATAGACTCAACACACACACACACACACACACACGGGAGAGAGCCAGCTTGCCACATTCCATACTGGCACCGGTTCAAGTCCTGGCTGCTCTGCTTCCAATTCAACTCTCTGCTAAAGCACCTGGGAAAGCAGCAGCAGATGGGCCCGAGTCCTTGGGCCCCTGCACTCACGTGGGAGACCCAAAAGCTCCTGCTTTGCCTGGCCAGCCCTTGGCATTGCAAACATTGGGAGTGACAGTGACCGAAAGAGATTTCCTTTTCCTCCCTCTATCTTCAATAATAAATAGATCTTTAAAAAAAATGATCCCAAGAGCCGGGCCTGGGTAAGGCTGAAGGAAGCCCGAAGCCCAGCACTCTATCCAGGTCTCCCATGTGGGTGGCAGGGACCAGGGAGATATACATATATGTGGATCTATCTATCTATCTATCTATCTATCTCTTTCATCCCCTAGTTCACTCCCCAAATGGCCCCAACAATAGGGGCTGAGGAGAGCCAAAGCCAGGAATCAGGAGCTTTTTCTGGGTCTCCCACATGGGTGTAGGGTCCCAAGGACTCAGGCCATCTCTGTTGCCTTCCCAGGCCATTAGCACAGAGCTGGATTGGAAGTGGAGCAGCTGGGACTCGAACTGGCACCCATATGGGATGCTGGCACTGCAGGTGGCGGCTTAACCCACCGCGCCACAGAGCCGACTCCTTTAGCAGGCAGCTTTGCCCACAGCAGCTGCTCAGTAAACACTGCCCATGATGATGTCATCAGACTGTCCCAGCACAGCATGAAGATGTAGTTTCCTTTTGTTCACAGTCGTCAGGCATTTATAAAGAAAAAAGTTTATTTTTATCACAAGAAGCACACAGACTATATACAATACACACCAACAGAAGTAAAAAAAAAAAGTGCACAATGCATCTTCTACTGCAAATTCACAGTACAAAAGATACTGCCTTTTAAATATATAATATAAAAAACAAGAAGAGAAACAATAGAATAAAAAAAATCATTGATACCGTTAACGCAACACGCGGGACCCCACCGGCAGCACGGAGCAGCCCATCTCACACAGCCCCTGATTTGGGGAACAGTGGGGGTGGGGGTGACTGGTACCTACATGTTGTTGCCAAAGAGCTCAGACACTCACAGAGAGGAGAAACAGGTGGCCCAGGAGGTAACAGATCTGCATTAAATGAGAGGACAAGTGCGGGCTGGGGCTGGGGCTGGGGCTGGGGCTGAGAGCCAGCAAACCACCTCAGGTCCTTGCCGGTGGTGACCAGGGGACCCGCTGGCAGGACCTGCTGGTGCTGCTCCCGTGAGGCCCCTCGTGGAAGAAGTCATGGACACACAACGTGGAACTGCATAGCAGGGGACACAACCAACCACCACCGCCACGACCAAAGGATCCGATCACAAAGATGAGAGTCCAACGGTTCCGCACAAATACACAGTATTTGTAAACTAGTATTAAGGCACTCGATTGTAAAACAATGACAGTGCAGGGGAGCGGAGGGAGCAGCAATCATGCAGCAAGCACGGGGCGGGGCGTTATAAAGACTCCTGTGTGAGTGAGTGACCCGTGCCAGGGCTGTGGCAGCGACGGCACAACAGTGACCCAGGACAGCGCTGGGCAGTGTCACTCCAGAGAGGTCAAGGGCGGCTGGGTGAGGCAGCCTGCGTGAGGATAAGGAAGAAACAGCACTGGAAGAGTGGCGACTGGATCCGGGCTCTGTCTGCTCACAGACAAGCAGAGCGGCCTCGCACAGGCGGGCTTTCAAGGAGGGTGCAGTGGGACCAGGAGCCATCGGTGAACCTGCCCAGGGGCATCCAGATGTCACCAGGTTCTCCTGCCGGAGGTGAAGGGGCTGCCAGCCAACAAGCAGGCTGGGTGAAAGGCGTCCCCGCTGCGGGCGGGGAGGCGGGGCCCTCTTTGGGCGCCTGCGCCCAGGTCACCCACCAGCAGGATCTTGACTGAGGGCTGTGGCGTTCATTCCCCCCAGGGAGAAACGGTCCCTGGGGGTGCCGTGCATCCACCCACCTTCCTGGAAGGGCCCTGAGATGGGCGTGCGGAGGTGCGGGGCAGCCAGCAAGGTCTGCTCAATGAGACCTCAGTTGCGTGCTCTGGGCTGATCTGGGGGACGGGAAGGCTCGTGAGCAGGGCTTCCACGGCGCTGTCTGCCACCTGGTGGCGAGCTGTCTGCCAGCCCAGAGGTTGGCAGGGGTCCCTGTATGGTGGCAAAGAGGCAGGGAAGGCAAGGCGAGGGACCCTTGTTCATGCATCCGGGGACAATGCTGAAGATCCCAAAGTGGCTCTCAGACAGGCAGGGGGCAAACCCCGTGCAGAGGGCAGCCTCCTCTCTCCGTGGCCTGGCAAGAACCGGCAAGACGACGCAGAACGTTCCAGCTATCCTGGGGCAGGGCCACAGGCGCTGAGGACAGGTGGAAGATGAGGTGTGGCCGAACGCCCAGGGGACTGAGCTGATTCACAAACGGGCCTTTCCTCCTACCTCGGCACGGCGCCAGCCAATGCCTCCTCCGCTCACCTCTCTCCTGTGCCCCAGGAGCCAGGACGGCACACAAAGCGCCTGTTGGAGTGAGCGTTCCCCTGTCCTGGTGGCGCGCTCTGGCCTGCTTAGTCTAACATTTAAAATGCCAGTTTGCCTGCAACACGGATCTGGTCTTCGAGGAGAAGCTTCACGGTTTCTCCTGGCTACAGTGTCAGCCTCCAGGTCTAGAGAGCTTCCTCGCGCCCTGCCGACGGGGCTGGGGCTGGGGCTGCCCGGATGTTGGTTGATAAGCCTGGACGTGCTCCCGACCACGAACACGTTAGGTTTGCCCAGAGCCAGAGGCCTGTGTGTATTTGTGATCCCACTCCCACCCCTCACCTGGGTTAAGAAAACTGATGGCTTTCGAAAGGCCAAGTTTCCCCAAGGCTCTCTCTCCTAGGCGGTTACCACAACCATCGAAGTGTGCCATCGCCAAATGGAAGGGATTGTTTTGACACAAAAGCGGATCGGCCACAGCACACGTAATTTGGCAAGACACGTGGAACTTGGTGGGGTTTTTGAGAAAATGCTTCTGTTGGGAGGAGCGGGGGAGACCCACAGGGCGCTGGGGGCAGGTGCAGAATCACCTTGTGAGGCGGCGTCAGCGGACGCTGGCGGAGACAGGCTCGCGTCAAGTTACGGTAACGTGTGTTTGCACGGAGCGGAACAACCGCACCAGCGAGACGGGCTCCTGGGCTCCTGGAGGGAGGGGTTCCGCCCCGCAGCAACCGCCAGGGGAACCACCCTTGCGCCCCGAGACCCTTTCTGGGCTGCTCTCCAGATGGCTGCTTTGGGGGCCCCCCATTCTGATCAAGAAAAGACGGGGGTCCCCCAGCCCACTCTGAGTCTGGTTGGCCCGGGAGGGCTCGCTGGCTTCACGGGTCACTGTGGCACACGTGGAAAGGCCTCGGCCAACAGTGTCACCCCCCCCCCCGCTCCTCCCCCTCCCCCAACACTGCATCCTGCACGGGGGAGGCCAGCTGCCGCGGGCTGCCGAGGCCTGGAGTTGGGCTGCACGGGAGAGGCCAGCTGCCGCGGGCTGCCGAGGCCTGGAGTTGGGAGGCGGCCAGCGTCTGGCCTGAGGGGTCCCAGAGGCCGGGGCCGGCTTCCGGTTTGCCCAGTTTATCCCCGCGGGGCCACTGTCAGAGCCCCAGAGGAAGTGTCTGGGATTTTGCAGGCCATGTGGGCCCTGTCACGTGCATATTGTGTTCTTTTTCCAACCCCTGAAGAAGGTAAAACCCACTGAGCCCACGGGGGCTGTCCAGAGCGGCGTGTAGAACCCTGAACCCCACCTCTGCCTTTCCATCATGCTCCTTCAAATTTTTTTGGGGGGGTCTGGCTCACAGACACCATGTGAGCCCCTAGATTCGAGCCCAGGGCCCGAGGCTGCATGGCGCTCACCTGATGGCTACGGGGCCGCCACGGTGCTGGTGCTGAGGCTCCATCCAGACTCCTCCTGACTCCGCCAGGACGGCTCCGGGCGGGGGGGGGGCGGGAAGCAGGAAGTGGGGATCTTGCAGGAAGCAGGAAGCGGGGGTCTCGCTACAGGAAAAGGCAGCTGTAAACATCTATAACGCCCTCACGGCCTCGGCCCTCTCAGAGCGGCTCCCGGAGAGGGGATGGAGAGCTCCTCACTGCTGAGACCTCTTCCCACGCGACACGAGGAGATGGGGCCCGTGGAAGCTCAGCTTGGGGCTCCCAGCAGGACCACTGGCATCTTGGACGCCCCCCTGGCCCCTTCAGGATCCTGGTGTGTCTCCCAATCCCAACCACAGGTGGTTCAGCAGCAGCGAGGGGGCTCAGCATGCTCCGTGGGGTCCTCCCCCCTCAGACTGGGGGGCGACGGAAACAACTGACAACCTCCCACCTATCTCCCGCCACACACACATCACCAGGGACAGGGGCCACGCATCGCGCACGGCTGCCCGCCGCTCAGCACAGGGCTGGTTCAAGCGCAGCCTTCGCGTGACGACTCTGCCCGCCGGGGCTGCGTGCACACGGCCTGAAGTCTTGACATCTCTAGGGTCCCCAATAACAGGAAGTCCTTCCTGGGGAGACCCTTCCTGACCCTGCACGACTCCCGGGAGGGAGGCTGGGTGGTGACCCCACTTCACAGGAGCAGAGCACAGCGAGAACAGAGGTAGGACAGGTGTCGCCATCCCAGAGTTTCCTCCTCCGAGGGCGCCACCACCCTGCTTTTGCATGCTGCAGATGGAATATTCTGGAAGGGTGTGCATGTCTGTGCACACTCTGAAAAACGTGACTCTTCCTGCAGACACGTGACCGGGGACCCGAGTTGTGTGTGTGCTGGGGACGGCTTGCGCCCTTTCTTCTTGTGCTGCGTGTTAACCGTTGGTGTTTCTCCTGCTCCTCTCTCGGGCAAGAGAGGGGACCAGGTGGGGGTGACTGCACTTGCTTAAGACGAATCAAGGTGTCAGAGGCTGGCCCACACCCTCAGGGGGACCGAGGGAGGGTCCTGGGAAAGGTGGGCTCCGACGTCCCTGAGCAGCGCAGGGCGGGTCAGCTCTTGCTCGCCCGGCAGGGGCTTCTCAAGTCCTCGGGGGCAGATTTCCCTGATGCTTTGCAGGTGGCGGCCGGGCTGCGTGGCGTGGCCTGGGGCTCATGCAAGAAGGAAGAGTTGCTGGGCTTGGCGTCCTGAGAGTCGGCGGCGGCAGCGGATATGTCGGCCTCGCTGGACAGGTCTTCTGTCGAAAAGTCCAGGCTCCCGAGCTTGGCCAGCGAGTGGGAGCGCTTCAGCGGCGACGAGACGGTGAGGCCCGCCAGCCGGAGCCGCGTCTCGATCTCCTGCGTGCGCTGCTTCACCAGCCCCGGCTTCCCGCGGACGCTGTGGATGCTGTCGCTGCTGGAACTGCGGGTCAGGCTGGAGCTCACGGCCGACGAGGTGGGCGTGTAGCACACGGTCTTCAGGAAGTCCTTCGAGAAGCTACTGGTGTGGTCCAGGCGGCCCAGGAAGGCCGGGGGGCTCCTCAGCAAGGCTCCGTCTGGCGCATGGGGCGCAGCCGGCTCCTGGCTCCCCTCGGGGATGCTGGCCTCCAGCCTGCCGGCCAGGCCGTCCGCCGGCGAGCCCTTGAGCCGCTCCAGCTCCCTGGTGTGCTTGCGGACGAGGCCGGCCTTCTGCAGCTGGATGATGGACTCCTGGTGCTGCATCAGGTAGCTGGTGGGCGGTGGCCTCTCCGAGTCGCCGCCGAACAGAAGCAGCCGCAGGTCCTTGGTGGGCCTCGGGTCTTTCTTGGGCGACGGCTCTTCCCTCGCCCCTTCCGTGCAGGCAGGGCTCTGATCACAGTGAGGATTCTTCAAGAGGAGGGGCAGCTTTGGAAGGACCTTCAGGGTCTCTCTGGAAGGTTCCAAAAGGCTGACTGGCAACTCTGGGGTGGCCCGGGCCCCAAGGCCATTGCCGTCCGGCCGCCTTGGGCCAGTGGCTGGGAGGACTGGGGACGTTTCAGCTGGGCCAGAGGCTGGCTTCTCCAGGGTTTTGCATCTGCCGGTGGCATGGGTCACAGGGGAAGAGGTGACATGGGGCAGGAAGGCGGGCTGCGTGCAGATGGCGCCGGCGCTTGGGTCCTCATGTGGCTCCCTGAAGGCCTCGGGAGCCCCGCTGGCCGTGGGGTACATGCAGTTGGCACAGGATTTATAGGGTGGCTTCACTTTGTTCAGGATCCCAAATATGGCGTCATGCTGCAAGGGTACAAGGACATCGTGAGAGGGTGCAGTCAGGACCAGGGTGGGGCCGGGCACTGCAGAGGCAGCACTGGCTTGCGCCTCCTACTGTAGCACAGCCACAGTGACCTCTTGGACTGCCCGTGAGTCACACGGTTGGGGACAAGTCAGGGGGCAGAGCTGGGCCTTCCAGGAGTCAAGTGCCCGAGGTCCTGGGCAAACCACGGCTTCCAAGGACCCCTCTTTGGAATCCCACTTTGCAGTCTGCACAGTGGGACCCTGTTTCAGGCCTTCCCTGGTCCTCTGGCTCACAGAAACAGAGACACGGCCTCTCTTTTGCACAAAGAATCTGCCTCTAGGGGCTGGCGCTGTGACACTGGCATCCCCCGTCACAGTGCCAGGTCAAGACTGAGCCACTTCACTTCTGACCCAGTCCCATGCTAACGCACCTGGGAAAGCAGCAGCTCACGGCCCATCCTTGGGCCTCTGCCACCCACGTGGGAGACCCGGATGGAGTTCCTGGTTCCTGGCTTGGACTTGGCCCAGACGTGGCTGTTGCAGGCATTCAGGGAGTGAACCAGTGGATGGAAAAATCTCTCTGCCTCTCCTTTTCTCTCTCTGTTCTGCCTTTCCAATAAATAAATACTTTCTTAAAAAAAAAACTTCACCTGGGGTGTCTGTAGCCCCACAGGAGGCACCTTTCCGTGCAGGCAACATAGCCTGGCTCCAGCACCATCACCGAGCTGTGCTCCTCACGGTCTTGGGAAAGATTCCGACTCTGACCTAACACAGAACCCGCAGGGCCTGGTGAGGTGGCAGGCTGAGCTGGGTTTTTCTTTTCACTTTTTTTAGAGGTGGTGGTGGTGGGGACAGTGAGAAAGAGAGAGAAAAGAGCTGATGCTGCGGTGCAGCGGGTTAATGCCCTGGCCTGCAGTGCTGGCATCCCATATGGGCACCGGTTCAAGCCCCAGCTGCTCCACTTCTGATCCAGCTCTCTGCTATGGCCTGGGAAAGCAGTGGAGGATGGTCAAAGTGCTTGGGCCCCTGCACCTGCATGGGAGACCCGGAAGAAGCTCCTGACTCCTGGCTTCAGATCGGCGCAGCTCTGGCCATTGCCGTCATTTGCAGAGTGAACCAGAAGATGGAAGACCTCTCTTTCTCTCTCTCCACCTCTGCCTCTCTATAACTCTGTCTTCAAATAGATAAATAAATCTTAAAAAAGAAAGAAAGAAGCCGGCGCCGCGGCTCAATAGGCTAATCCTCCATCTAGCGGCGCCGGCACAACGGGTTCTAGTCCTGGTCGGGGCGCTGGATTCTGTCCTGGTTGCCCCTCTTCCAGGCCAGCTCTCTGCTGTGGCCAGGGAGTGCAGTGGAGGATGGCCCAAGTTCTTGGGCCCTGCACCCCATGGGAGACCAGGAGAAGCACCTGGCTCCTGCCTTCGGATCAGCACAGTGTGCCGGCCACAGCGCGCCGCCCACGGCGGCCACTGGAGGGTGAACCAACGGCAAAGGAAGACCTTTCTCTCTGTCTCTCTCTCACTGTTCACTCTGCCTGTTTAAAAAGAAAAAAAAAAAAAGAAAAGAAAAAAGAAAGAAAGAGAGACAGACAAAGATTTTCGATTGATCGATCTTCCAGCCACTGGTTTACTTCCCAAATGCCCACAACAGCTAGGACTGGGCTGGGTCAGGGCTGGGAGCCAGGAACTCCATCATCGTCTCCCACATGGGTGGCAGGGGCCCAAGCACTGGGGCCATCTTCTGCTGCCTTCCCAGGTGCATCAGCAGGGAGCTGGATCAGAAGCGGAGCAGCCAGGACTCCAAGTGGGCACTAGGATATGGGACACAGATGTCCCAGGTGGTGGTGTGGCTGCTGGCCAGACACCAGCCAGAGGCGGGTAGAAGGAGGGCAAACTGCAATCAGTCTTTGGCTTTGAAGCCTCAATGCGACTTGGAGGTTGGTGGAAGTCACTGCCCAGTTTTGCTTGCGTCGTGGTGACATGTTAACGACACTCTGGCTTTCTACCTCAATGCACCTGTGGGTGTCTCCAGCGCTCTCCCTCAAGAACTGCAGCTGTCCTGTGGCATGGGCAGGGGAGGCCACTGCTCACTACTAATGGAACAGAGAGAAGGTTCTAGGTGAGAACCAGGTGGAGGCTAAAACCTGGTTGTAGAGAATCCACCAGATATGACAGAACAGACTAACGGAGTTGAGCACTGGGTCCAGAGTGGGAGTATGAGACAGTGATGTGGAAGAATTACTACCAGCTGATAATTGCTTAGAGGTGGTAATGGCCTTGTAGTTATGCCCTATGTAAATGAGCATAAATGGAGAATAAAACAATACAAGGATACTTCAAAAGTTTGCTTAAAATACAATTAAAAATACTTAAGGGACTGACTTTGAGGCACAGCAGGTTAAGCTACCACCTGTGATGCCAGCGTCCCGTACTGGAGTGCTGGTTCAAGTCCCAGCCACTCTGCTTCCCATCAGGCTTCTGGCTAATTCACACGAGAAGGCAGCAGAGAGTGGCCCAAGTACCGGGCCCCTGCCACCCATGGGGGAGACCAGGATGGAGCTCCTGGCTCCTCACTTTGGCCTGGCCCAGACCTGGCTCAGACCTGGCTGTTGTGGGCATCGGGAGTGAGCCAGTGGGTGAAGGACCCTCCTGCCGGTGCTCTGCTTTTCTGGTTAATGGCTCCAGTTTCCTGCTAATGCAGATGCTGGGAGACAGCGGTGATGGCTCAAGTGACGGGGGCCGGGCTGCCCATGTGGGAGACCCTGGCTTGGGTTCTCAGCTCCCGGGTCTCTGCCCAGTCCTGGCTGTTGTAGGCATTTGGGAAGTGAACGAGTGGATGGGAGTGCATGCTATCTCTCTGAAATAAATAAAAAGTAATTTTAAAAAAAGGGGCTAAGTGTATTTTGGTACAAAAAATTGCAAAATTCATGTATATGAGGGGTCTTCAAACAAGTCACATAAACTAAATAATATAAAACTGCATGGAGCCGGCACTGAGGCACAGTAGGTTAATCCTCTGCCTGCAGCGCCGGCATCCCATGTGGGCACCTGTTCTAGTCCTGACTGCTCCACTTCTGATCCAGCTCTCTGCTGTGGCCTGGGAAAACAGTGGAAGATGGCCCAAGTCCTTGGGCCCCTGCACCCACGTGGGAGACCCAGAGGAAGCTCCTGGCTCCTGGCTTCAAATCTGCCCATTTCCGGCCATTGCAGTCAATTGGGGAGTGAACCAGGGGATGGAAGACCACCCCCCCACCCAAACCCTACCCTGCCTCTCTGTAGCTCTGCCTTTCAAATACATGAATAAAATTTTTTTTTTTTTTTGTAAAGCGCTTGCAGCTGGGGGAAGGTTCCATGTTTTACATTTCACAGGGGAAGAAGGGAGCTGCAGGCGCCGTGTGGGACGGGGACAGCTTGCCAGGGACCTGGCTGAGTCCCTCTCAATCCCTGACAGATCCCACCAGACATGCACAGGCCAGGCCCTAAGCGGTGGGCAGAATCGCCCTCTGGATTGAACCTGCTGGCCACGGGAGGTGGACTGCTGCCCAGCAGGCATGGCGGAGTGCAGGGCTGGGAGGGGGCAGCTCTGCGGGGCAGGGCAGGGGTGATGTGCTGGGGGACCCCGAGTGCCCGCCCCACACCTACCTCGAAGTCATCCGGGCAGCTCCTCTTGCTGTTGTTATTATTTAGGTTCTCCCGGTTGAGCGGACTTGGGGGGTGGCCCCACCTCCCAGCTCCTGGGCCCTCGTCCCTGTCCATCTCCTCCACCTGCGGGAGGGAGCCACTCCGCGTCTTGGGGCTCCCAAACTCTAGCCTCTTCTTCACGTCCTTCTCACAGGGGGCAGGGCTCTCCTGGGGCTGTCTGGCCGGCCGGGGCGCCTCGGGCGGCTGCGCAGCACCCTCCAGGAGCGCATCCCTCTCTAGATCCTCGAGCTGGACCAAGCCGTCCGCTTCCTCATCCGGGGAATGTAGCAGGGGGTCTGAGAGCCGCCGGAAGCAGCAAGGGAGCGTGGGCCCTCCCGGGAGCCTGCTGCTGGCGAACGCGGGCTGGGTGGCATCGCCCACGCAGGGCAGCTGGGCTTCCGTGGCGTCATCCAGGGCCTCTGGCAAGAAGTCACTGGGGCCCGCGGGCTCGTCTGCAGGCTGCTGGAGGCTGCTCTCTGGCTGCGGGCGCCACAGCTTGTTGTGCCGCTGTTTGCTGTGGGCGGAGAGAGCAAGCAAGGTTGGCCAGGCAGACGGCGCCCGCAGGGTCCCAGGAGGAGCGAGCTGGGGACAGCCTGAGGTCAGGTGTGTGCCAGGGGTGTGCCCCACGTGTCAAGCATGTGCACCAAGAGTCGATTAGGTAAAGTCACCTGTTTCCAGAAACGCAAGGCTGAGAAACGGCATGAGGCCCCAGCCCCATTGAGGCTCCCAAGAGAAGCCTCGTGTGGCTTTCCCGTGCCCAAGGACGACGTGGGAGCTAACCTGCTCGGTCACGTCCCTGCCACTCTGTAACTCCGCCTCTCAGCTGCTGCCTGTCACAGGCAAACACTGATCCTCTCCCACCAGACTGGGGGCACACGAAGAGGACCACGGGGAGGGCAGGTAACGGTGGACTCACACGCACGTCCCCGGGGACACACAGTGTGTGTGTGTGTGTGTGTGTGTGTGTGTGTGAGAATCAGGAAACATGAAATATTTGTTTAGGGCAGAGCAATGACAGGTCAGATTTTAAATGATTTCTTCTAATACTATAGTTATTTTTTAATTAAAGGTTTATTTATTTGAAAGGCCAAGTGACAGAGAGGAAAAGAGGGAGATCTTGCATTGCTGGTTCATTCTCCAAATGGCTGCAACAGCCAGATCTGGGCCAGGATGAAGCCAGGAGCCAGGAACTCCATCCGGGCCTCCCACATGGGCAGCAGGGACCCAAGCACTTGGGCCATTTTCTGCTGCTTCCCAGGAGCACTAGCAGGCAGCTGGATCAGAAGCAGAGCAGCCAGGACTCAAATCAGCGCTGATATGGGATGCCGGCACGGCAGGCGATGGCTTAACCAGTGGCGCTGGTTTTATAATACAGTTCATAAATACAGGCAACCGAGGTGGGAGAGATCTACAGTGACAGAAGGTAACTGAGCCTCCCCAGACCTGAGGGTGACAACACCCTGGGCCGGGAGGGTCGCAGCAGCAGAGAGGCAACTTGTCAATCAGGGCTCGCTGCTGCTCTTCCGGGCGAGGGAGCATCGTGCTCGTTTGTTACTGTCTGCACCGTGCACGCCCTCCCCTGGGCTGCGAAGCTCAAGGCAGGGCCACCGAGACCCCTAACCCCTGGCTGGGCTGCAAAGGCGCTCTGGCAGTGAGTGACGACCGCCAGAAGGAGGGAGAGGACAGCAGCTTGCCCGGCCCTGCTCCTCCTAGTCTGGGCCCCGTCTGGGGACCCCGCTGAGACACTCTCTGGCTGACAGTGAAGCAGTCCAGCCACGGCCGGAGCTGTTCCCAGGATCCCCGTCAACCCGGCCAGGGCACTGCTGCTTCCCCAAAACTTGGCCAAGAAGCCACTAGATGGAGCCTCTGGCTTCCTTCCAACAAGGGTCAGGAATAATCCAGGCCTAGGAAGGGACCGGAGAAGGCGAGCCCTGAGCAGCTGGCCTCTGTGAGGGCCTGGGGCGCTGGCGGCCTGCCATCTCCGGGGCCCCCTCTGCCCCGAGTGGGCACAAGAACCTCTCAGAGGCCAGCAGACCCGGGAGTGCATGGCGGAACGGGGGGCCTCTCAGCGCCAGTTCCGCAGGCATCCCCAGCCCCGGGGGAAGGAGGACCCCCTGTCCTTTGCAGACCCCTTCAGGGCAGGAATGAGAAGTCTTAAAAGCATCCCAGGGGAGCTGAGGTTTAGCCTGGCAGTTGGGTGCCCACACCCCACAGCAGGGCACCTGATGTTCCATTCCCGGCTCTAGGGCCTGGCCTGGGCTCCCTGTGCATGCTCACCCTGGGAGGCAGCAGTGATGGCTCAAGTCACTGGGTTTCTGCCGCACACACGGGACCCTGGAGGGTGTTGCCAGCTCTTGGCCCAGCCCTGGCTGTTGTGGGCATCAGGGAGTGAACCAGCAGATGGGACATTCTCTCTCTCTCTCTCAAAATGGGATGGAAGGTAAGAAGGGAGGAAGGGAGAAAGAAGGGAGGAAAGGAAGGAAGCAGGGAAGCCATTGGACCTACGTGGGAGCACACGGCACTTGCCTTGTTGTGACCGGCTTATTGCGCCTGGTGCAACGTCCCCAAGGTTCACCCATGTTGTAGCAGGCATCAGATTCTGGGTCCTTTTTAGGGCCGAGTAATATTCCACTGTACATGCAGACCTCATGCTGTTCCCCATTCACTCATCAACACACAAGAGCCACTGGTACCTCGTGGCAGAGACAGAGAAAGATCCTCGCTCTGTGCTTCATTCCACAGATGCTCACAACAGCCAGGGCTGGGCCAGGTTGAAGCCAAGAGCCAGAAACTCCTTCTGGGTCTCCCTCATGGGTGGCAGGGACCCAACTACTTGGGCCATCACCTGCTGCCTCTCAGGGCATTAGTAGGACGCTGGAATCGGGAGCAGAGCCAGGACTCGACACCAGGTACCCCGTGCCAGTTCACCTTCAGGCGGGTTTTTAACCAAGAAGAAGAGACTGAGGCTCAGGGAGACTGACCGAGCCGCCTGAATGCTCACAGGTGCAGATCCTGGGCATCTGCTTCCGCAATCCTGAGCTTGCCCTGTATCAAAGGGTATGCGTGGGGGCCGGGGCTGTGACACAGCAGGTAAAGCCGCTGCCTGCAGTACCAGCATCCCATATGGGCACTGGTTCAAGTCCCGGCTACTCCACTTCCAATCCAGTTCCCTGCTAATGGCCTGGGAAAGCAGCGGAAGATGGCCCAAGTGCTTGGGCCCCTGCACCTGCATGGGAGACCCAGAAGAAGCTCCTGGCTCTTGGCTTCGGATCGGCGCAGCTCCAGCCATTGTGGCCATTTGGGAAGCAAACCAGTGGATCGAAGACCTCTCACTCTCTCCCTCCCTCTGCCTCTCTGTAACTCTGCCTTTCAAATAAGTAAATCTTTAAAAAGGAAAATAAAAACTGTGCACAGGACATGGTGCCAAGCGGACGCTCGGGAAGCAGGAGGCCCTCAGGCCCACACCGAGCCCCAGCTCATGCCTTGGACAAGTGGTCAGGCACTGCCCCTCGTGCAGCCAAGGCACACGCAGGGCCCCTGGACACTGCCGATCAGAGACCCGCTCCTCTCTTCCCGCAAGGGGGCGCTCTGGCTCTGCCAGCGACCCTTCCCGCAGGCCGGCACCCACCTGGCGTCCAGGATGCCCTCGTACTCGGACAGCTGCTTCATGAAGCCCGCGTTGGGCCGGGTGATGCTGCGCTTCTGCTTCACGTAGTTGTACGCCTTCTCCAGGGGCCAGCCGAACTCCTTCATGGCGTAGGCGATGACCGTGGACGCCGAGCGGCTGACACCCATCTTGCAGTGGACCAGGCACTTGGAGTGGTTCCTCCTGCGGGGGCGGAGGCGGAGAAAGAGTTAGGAAGCTTCCACGACGTCATCTCTGTCCGTGCCCGGCTGACTTCCTCCTTAGACCCTGACGTCATCGGCCGCGGTCTGCTGTGTCGGAATTGTTTACAGAGCAGGTTCGCACACCCTCTAACAGCAATCACTCTGCTGCTGGATCAATCATATCCTCGCCCCGCCACGGCCTGCAGGACTGGCTGCCTTCAGGAATCTTCCCACCTGGCACGCGCCAGACGCCCAGAACCCTGCCCCGAGAAGCCACTGGCAGCCAGGGGACGCCTGCAAAAGCGGCTCAGCGGTGGCAGCAGATGGGGACGGGGAGGAGCTGCTGCAGCAAATGGGGTCAGCGGGCAAGGGCTGCTGGGCCCTGGGGACAGCGAGGTGCCAGTCAGACAGAGGGCAGGGATGGCGGCCGCGGGGGAGGGGGGACGCGTGAGTTGTAAGTGCAGGCTCAGGCGTGTCTGGTTTGCTTGCTCAAGGGCATGGGGAAGGCCGAGCTGGCCAGGGCGGCACCTGCCCTGCGGTATTTGTTCAGGGGGCAGTAAGCGCCTGGCTCTGCTGCCCTGGCCTTGAATCTGCCCCCCAGGTCTCTGTGCCTGGTGTTTTCTTGAATGCCTGTCTGAAGTCTGTCCCCAGAGGATGCAGGAGGACTGACACCTTGGAAAGCACATGCTGTGGAGCTCGGACCCAGAGGGGCACGAAGCCAGCAGGGTGCTCCTCACAGGGTGACCTCCGAGTCACCCTGTGGTGACTCGGTGGGGGGAGCAGGGACGGCTCAGGCTGCGGGGCTGGCCTTGGCCTCTGCTGGTCAGTCCGTGGAGCTCTGCCTGGGTGGGGACGCAGGCTTTAGGCCCAGGGATGGGCGGGGCTCTCCTCCCTGACCCTTCTTTGGCTCAGCAGCTCCCCGGGGGGAGAGCTCCCAAGAGCGTCCACTTGCGGTTAGACCTTGGCAAAAACCAGGGGTCCGATGTTGTGACCCAGGACAAGTGGGAAGGGACGAGCACATCAGGGCCTGTGTGTGGAGACGGGCAGTGGCTAGCGGCCAGCAGCCTGGTGCCCGGCTCCAACCCCAGCCCCGGCGCATGCTCACTTGGCTTTGTTTATGAAGTGATACGCTTCGTTCCAGTGGGCCAGCAGGTCTGTGGTCTCCTCGTCATAGACACGGATGTTGTGATAGGCAAATAAGCCGGGGAAGAAGTTATCTATTTCTCTGGTGACATTTAAGATGTAGTCAACCCTGCAATGAGAAAAACCAGAGCGCAAATTTGGAGAATCAGGAGGAATTGGACATAAAAAAAAAAAAAAAAAAAAAAAAAAAAAAACCACAGGCAAAGGGAAGAAAAGTTAGACACAGGAAGAACGGATGTCTGTGGTGGGACTCTTGTGGTTTTTTTCTTTTCTTTTTTGTAATTTCTAAATGCCCTCCACGTGAGAACGCATTATATTTTATTTAAAAAAATTTCCTTATTTTAAAAAGCCTCCCGATCAAAAGCATTGCTCAACAATGTTAACTGTGCAAACTAAATATATGCATTACTTAAATAAATACACTCTACACGCCTTCAAGTTGCAAAATTTACAGCTATCGCTGAGTCTACAGGGGCTGTTGTTTTTCAAGTCCGCGCTGTTCGATAGTTAAAAAGCAGAAAACATCCATCCATCATCTACGTCCCTGGGAACTGCCTGCAATCCTGTTTTGAAACAAGGCAGGATATAAATAAATGAGAGGGTCTGCTATCCCTCTGAACTTAATCAGCCACTTCTTTCACTTGTAGGAGACCAGAGTGACTGCAGGGGTCAGGAGACACTTCAGTCGGCTTCGTAAGAGGACACTGATACGTGCAGAGAAAATGCCTCCGAGGCCGCTCGTTTCTTCCCAGCCACGCGGCCGGCCTGGAGAACACGAGGCTCCCTTTGGAGAACTACTCCGCGATGAAAGGACACCTCCTAACCAGCAGTTCTAAAGATGTATTTTAGGATTTGTTTAGTCTTGATTTTCAAATGCGGTCATTCGAGAATGCCATCACGTCAGACACACAGGATGGCGACTTTGTGGCTGTGTGGGTTAAAAAATAAATAAATGGGGGGAAAGTCCAGCCGTCTGTTCCGAAAGGCCCAGGTTTAAACGTTCTTCATTTCTGGAGCCCAGCGCTTCCTGGCCAGGCCGCCACCGGGCCCCCAAGCATAACCGGAGGTCGAGGCGGGAGTGGCCCAGGGACCATGGCGCAGGGACTCAGCAGTACCATTGGGTGCGATTCAGAGCGGTCCTCTCTGACACGCCACTCCGAGGCACCTCCGTGCAGTTATGCATATCAGCCCTGCCAGCTACTTCAGAGACCGGGCAGCCCGGGCCTTGCTGAGCCGCCCGGAAGGACGGGGGAAGACAAGGGGCGCAGACTCACCCTGAGCCCTGCAGTTCCTCCAGGTTGGATGCATTCCATTCTGAGCCCTGGGGGACAGATCACACAAACCCCCATGAGTGTCACACGCCAGCCAGCCTTGCAGCTGCTTACGGGACGTGGGGTCTTCCCTGGCCATGACCGTGAGGCCTTGGAGGACGGTGAGGGGCTCCCAGCATCCTCTGTGGCATGACGGGGAGGGGAGGGAGGACCCAGGAAACCCTGCTGCCGTCGCTCTGCTTCCCTTCCTGGGACCCCAGTGGGGTCGGCTCGCGACCCCCCTTGGGGGCGTCTGCACTCATCACCGATGACAGCAGAACTCATTCCACTTTTCTGGCAGGGATTTTGACAACATTATAAAGCCTCCCAGTGGCTCCACTTACAAAAAGCATCCTGAGGGGCTGGCGCTGTGGTACAGGAGGGTAAGCCTCTGCCTGTGGCGCCGGCATCCCATATGGGCGCTGGTTCACATCCTGACTGCTCCAGCTCCCTGCTAATGGCCTGGAAAGCAGTGGAAGATGGCCCAAGTGCTTGGGTTCCTGTACCCATATGGGACCCAGAGGAAGCTCCTGGCTTTGGATCAGTTCAGTTCCAGCTGTTGTGGCCATTTGGAGGGTGAACCAGTGGTTGGAGGACCTCTCTGTAACTCTACCTCTCAAATAAATAAATAAAATCTTAAAGAAAAAAATAAAATACTCTTCAGGTGAATATTTAACAGGCCAGGGAAATATCAGCTAAGTGAAAAAACTGTTAAAAGAAAGCAAGTTAGGGGCATTGTGGCACAGTGGCTAAGCGACCACCTACAACATGGGCATTCCCACATGAGCACTGGTTCAAGTCCTGGCTGCTCCACTTCTGATCCAGCTCCCTGCTAATAGGCCTGGGAAAGCAGTAGAAGATGGCCTAAGTGTTTGGGCCCCTGCACCCATGTGGCAGACCTGGAGGGAGTTCTGGGCTCCTGGCTTCAGCCTGGCCCAACCCTGACCAGTGTGGCCATCTGGGGAGTAAGCCAGTGGATGGGAGATCTCTGTCTCCCCACCTCCTCTGTAACTCAGCTTTTCAAATCAATCAATCAATCAATCAATCTGGATTCAAGGAACGTGGAAGGGTGAAAAAGACAAAGGAAAAGGAACAAATGGTCACTTTGCTCTTAGGAAATGCAGGTGACCCCCAAAGAGCAGCCCCCGCGAGCCACCTGCGGTGCTGAGAGGGCGGGACCTGGGCGAGCTGGCCCCGCCTGGTGCTGCCGGCCAGTCTGTTATTATAACTAATTCCTTTAGTATCTCTCGTGACAAAGTGACACAGAGCACCGAGCCAGGCAGAAAAACCACGGCAGCCCCACCGAGGCTGTGAGCTCCCCCTGACATGACCATCGCCTGGTGGAGAGAGGCCAGCCGGGGGTGGCTGCGCGGCGCTCCCCGCGGGTGGGTCCAGGAACGCAGGCGTGCGAGGGTTCTTGCGAGGGCGCCTGAGAAGTGCCTGTTTCCCCGTCACTCCACCCATGCGACAGAGCAGCTGTGTTCACCCACGGGCACTTCCAGGCAATGAGAAGATGGGTTTGAAATCCATGGTCAAAAACTTCCAGGAACGCGTATCATGAAAGAACATACACATTTTAACCTTCTGAAGTGCCCTCAGTAACACGGCACATGCACGTGCGGGAGTGTCATATATACACACGTGGGAGGGATGCCATCCGGAAACCCTCGATGGCTTCCTTCTTTTTTTTTTTTTTATTTTTTGACAGGCAGAGTGGACAGAGAGAGAGAGAGACAGAGAGAAAGGTCTTCCTTTGCCGTTGGTTCACCCTCCAATGGCCGCCGCGGCCAGCGCGCTGCGGCCGGCGCACCGCGCTGATCCGATGGCAGGAGCCAGGAGCCAGGTGCTTTTCCTGGTCTCCCATGGGGTGCAGGGCCCAAGCACCTGGGCCATCCTCCACTGCACTCCCTGGCCACAGCAGAGAGCTGGCCTGGAAGAGGGGCAACCGGGACAGAATCCGGCGCCCCGACCGGGACTAGAACCCGGTGTGCCGGCGCCGCTAGGCGGAGGATTAGCCTAGTGAGCCGCGGCGCCGGCCGATGGCTTCCTTCTGACACAGGCAGAATCCTGCCCGCCTTCAGCAGCAACTCCGCGTCCCCAGCTCGCCCAGGCAGCACTTTCTCTTGTTGTGGTGGCACACGCGCGTGGCGCCCTCCATCTGTATTTTAGTTAGTTCTCTCATAATCTCCCCCGAGGTCTGCGGTGAAGGAAGAGGCAAACGGATCTGCCCCAGGGGACGGGGCCCGAGAAGCGCATGTGGCTGGGCCACCGGGTTGGAGTCTCAGCCCACCACGGGCGCTCCTCCGCGGTCTGCGGCTCCCTCTGCAAACCTGCCCATTGCCTTCACGCTGGGCGCACCAGAGGTGTGGAGATCCGGCACGAGTGGCCCAGGGTGATGAGACCGACGGGGGCGGCTCTTCCAGTGGGCTCCGGGAGCCACGCACAGAAGGGAAGCCCTGTGGGATGTGTCTGCCCCATTGTTCTCATGCGTGGGATACTGGGGCCTAATTCCGGGGCTTGCTGAGTAGGCTCCTTGGTCCTTTAGCCCACGCACCATTTGGAGGTGAGTGGGCGGGAACAGTGTGTGAGCGACGGCCGACAACATGGGGCCGTGAGAATCTGCGATCACATGCCTCTGGACGATGCCACACAGCTTCCAACAAACTCCCCACGGCTCAGCGGGGAGCCACAGCCCCCACCCGGGCTTGAGAGCAGACCTACAGGCTGCAGGGTGGAGAGGGGTCAGCCCCGCTGGACTCGGGAGGGGGTCACCGGGAACTCAGGCCTGTTTCTTCGCCTGCCTTTTCTCCCTGACTTGCTGCAAAAGCCAAACAATCAAGGCCTGATTCACGTTCCCCAACCAGACACCAACGTGGGCCGTGCCTCTTACGAGATAAAGATGGTCGAAGATAAGGGAGGGCTTGTCCATCTGCCCCAAGATGAGCAGCATCTCGTTGTCTATGAATTCCTTGAATTCTTTCAAGTTACAGTTCATCTGCTTCTCTAACTCGGTCCGGATCTGCGGAGCGGAAGACATTGGGAAGAGTCACGTCAGGGGAAGCACTGCCCCTCTTCAAAGCACTGCGCCCACAGCACAAACTGCGGCTGTTTTCAAAACCAGGGGTTGGCGTTTTCTTTCTTTCTGGGCAGTCGTGCACTGGGACACACACAGCGCACACACGTGCGTGGCAGGCACGCGGGTTACGCAGCCTAGAAGTCAGGCCAACTGGAGGAAGCTGATTACTGCAGGTTAGGAACCTGACGGCCCCGGGACCTGTGCTACTGAGTCCGAAGCCTTTACGCTTTCACAGCTGAACAGCAACCGTGACGCAGTGAGTGAGACCCTCACAGACAGCTCTGCTCTGCGTAGGAAAGCCCCACCACACAACTGCCAAGAGGTGTTAATTAAGACAAAGACACAATCAGCCTGCAGGATCCTCAAGGGCCTGGTTCCAGGACACGCCCAGCCCCAGCCCCAGCCCCCCACCCCCACCCCAAACCGACAGCTGCAGGCGGTCAAGTCCCTTAAATAAGACCGCAGCATTGCCAGCGCCGCGGCTCACTAGGCTAATCCTCCGCCTTGTGGCGCCGGCACACCGGGTTCTAGTCCCGGTCGGGGCACCGGATTCTGTCCTGGTTGCCCCTCTTCCAGGCCAGCTCTCTGCTGTGGCCTGGGAGTGCAGTGGAGGATGGCCCAGGTGCTTGGGCCCTGCACCCCATGAGAGACCAGGAGAAGCACCTGGCTCCTGCCATTGGATCAGCGCGGTGCGCCGGCCGTAGAGCACCAGCCGCAGTGGCCATTGGAGGGTGAACCAACGGCAAAGGAAGACCGCAGCGCGCCTGTCCAGAAGCCCCGCACATCCCACATCCTCCTGGGCACTTTACATCACCTGCAGAGGACTTGGAGGGCCCAGCACTTGTACACGCCTTGTGAGCAGTGTGTTACACTGTGCTGCTCGGGGCATGGTGACAGGAGAGATACATGAGGGCTTGTTCAGGACACAGGCAGCTGTTCCCCCATCTCTGACCCCAGGTTCCCTGGATTTGAGGATATGGAACCCACAAAGGCAGAGCACTGATGGTAGCATGACCTTTTAAAAGGGCATCTTTTCTAAAAAAAAAAAAGATTTATTTATTTGTTTGAAAGGCAGTTAGAGAGAGAAAGAGACCGAAAAAGAGACCTTCCATCTACTGGCTCACTTTCCAAATGGTTGCAATAGCCGGGGCTGGACCAAGCCTATGTCAGGAGTCATGGACTCCATCCGGGTCTCACATAGAGGGGAGCAGGGGCCCAAGCACCTGAGCCATCCTCCGCTGCCTTCCCAGGTGTGGTAGCAGGGAGCTGCATCCGAAGTGGAGCAGCTGGGAGCAGAACTGGTGCTCTGATACGGGGTGCCCATACCACAGGCAGCAGCTTAGCCCTCTGCGCCCCACCAGCCCTAACAGGATAATTTCAACCTCGTAAATCTGCCCAATGTAAGCTGTTATCATTTGCTGTGTTTCTTGAAGAAAAAGTAACAGGAAAAAAGCGATCAAGGAAAACAGTGCATGCAGAGAGAAGGCAGGCCAGGTGGGGTCCTGTACAGGAATGTTTGCTGTCTCTCGCTTAAAACCCAGCAGCGTGGGACGCAAGGCGGGAGAGGGCACGAACAGGAAACTGCTTCCCCGTGCGACCTACGGAGCCCATGGCGACCTCACAAGTCATCCGAGTGAGGGGCCTGGGGAGATCAAGAGGCCCGCCTGCGACACCGGCATCCCACATGGGCGCCGGTTCAAGTCCCGGCTGCTCTGCTTCTGATCCGGCTCCCTCCTAGGGTGCCCGGCAAAGCGGCAGAGGATAGTCCAAGTGCGTGGGCCCCTGCTCCTCTCCATGTGAGACCCGGATGGATTTCCAGGCTCCTGGTTGTGGCCTGGCCCAGCCCCAGCTGCTGTGGCCTTTTGGGAGTGAAGCAGGGGATAGAAGATCTCTTCCTGTCACTCTTTCAAATAAATAAATAAATCTTAAAACAAACAAATAAACAAATAAAAACTTTGCCCCAGGACCCACTGCCAGGAAGTGGCGGCTCTAGAACCAAGCCGGAGGCTGAGTCCAAGGCCTGTGCCCCTCCCCCTGAGTCCTGCTGCCGCTGGGGCGGGCGGGCGGAGAGGCACCTGCAGCCCAGGGCCAGCGCGTCCCTCGGGCCTCCCTCACCTCCTTGGAGGTCACGTTCTCCAGATCCTGGCTCATCATGATGCTTCGGAGCTTGGCTTTGATGAGGCGCTCAGTCCGTTCCCCTTCAGTTGGCCTGGAGAGAAAGGACATCTAGCAGAGCACAGGACAGCAGGAAGCTGGAGGCCAGAGGCCCAGGGACAGCCGACGCTCCGCTCCCTGTTCACACAGTGCAGCGGCGGCGCAGAGAGCTCACAGCGGGGTGTGCACGGGCCCGGGGTGGGGTGGGGGGCGGGGGAAACCTGCCCCAATGCTAGGATTCCCACAGGGCAGAGTGGACACGCGCCAAGAGGAGGCACCATGGAGCCGAAGCCCACTCCGTGTTCAGCCACACCAGGATTCCCACGGGGCAGAGTGGGAAGCCTACTTTGTGTTCAGCTCTGTGGCATCAGGGCTCTCAGGGCAGGACACTGGGGACCCTCTCCCCTCTCCTCTGGCCCTGCAGCCGGACACCCCTGCCCTTCCAGGTCCTTTAGTCTCTGCCCAAACACACCTGGGCAGGAGGCTGCCACCACGTCCTGGGGTGGCTCAGCCCAGCTATCTCCAGCATCTCCTCCTTCCACGGAATCAGAATCTGTGGATTCCCCCGTGAAGTCTACGTGCCAGCCCCTGCTGGCAAAGCCCCTGCTTTGCTCGCGGGCCACTCGCACTGGGGCAGTCCTCCTGCCCCGCGGTGACCCTGCACACCTCAAAGCAGCTCTCTCTCCCCACCTTCTCGCCACTCCACCAAGGCCTCGCACGGTCAGCCCAGCCACGCCCTGGACACGCTGCAGCTCATCCCCAGCTCTCCGAAGACCCAGTGTTCCGGGGCGGGCGTTTGCCATGGGGTTAAGGTGCCAGCATCAGCCTGCCTGGGTGTGAGCCCCGGCTCTGCTTCTGATGCCAGCTTCCTGCTGATGCACACCCTGGGAGGCAGCAGGTGATGGCTCAAGTACCTGGGTCCCTGCTGCCCACGTGGGAGACTGGGGTTGAGTTCCATGCTCCTGGCTTTGGCCTGGCCCAGGTGTAACTCCTGTGGGCATTTGGGGAGTGAACCAGCAGACAGGAGCTCTCTATCTCTATCTTTCAGATAAATAAAAACATTTTTAAAAGATTGATTTATTTATTTGGTAGGTTAGAGAGATAGATGGAGAGAGAGATCTTCCATCCCCAAATGGCCACAATGGCCCGGGCTTCATCTGGGTCTCCCACGTGGGTGCAGGGGTCCAAGCACTTGAGCCATCTTCTGCTGCTTTCCCAGATGCATTAGCAGGGAGCTGGATTGAAAGTGCTGCAGACGGGACTAGAACTGGCACTCATACGGGATGCTGGTGCTGTAGATGGTGGCTTAACCAGCTGTGCCACAAATCCAGCCCCAATACAAAAATTTTTCTTAAAGATTTATTTATTTATTTGAACTTGGGCAGAAATACAGAGAGAGAAGGAGGGAGAGACAGAGAGGGATCTTCCATCTGCTGGTTCACTCCCCAAATGGCCACAACGGCCAGGGCAGGGCCAGGCCGAAGCCAGGAGCCAGGAGTTTTATCCAGATCTCCCACATGGGTGCAGGGTCTGCTGTCTTCCCAAGCACATTAGTAGGGAGTTGGATTGGAAGTAGAACAGCCAGGACTTGAACTGGCACCCATATGGGATGTTAGCACTAGAGGTGGAAGATTCCGGCCCCAGCCAATACAAAAATTTTTTAAAAAATAATTAAGAGAGAAGTCAGTGTTGTGGCGTAGTGGGTTAAGCTGCTGCTTATAGGCCTGACATCCCATATGAGTGCCAGTTCGAGTCCCAGCTGCTCCACTTCCAATCCAGCTCCCTGCTAATGCTCCTGGGAAAGCAGTAGAAGACGGCCCGAGTGCTTGGGCCCCTGCGCCCACGTGGGAGACCCATAAGGAAGCTCCTGGCTCCTGGCTTCCCCCTGGCCCAGCCCTGGCTGTTTCGGCCACTTGGGAAGTGAACCAGGAAGATCTCTGTCTCTCCCCCTTTCTCAGTAATTCTGACTTACAAATAAATAAATCTTAAAAAGAAGACACCGTGTCACAGAGGAAAGGGATGCTTGAGGGGGAATGGAATCCTGACTGGAAGCGACGAGAGACGCTTCCCCCTTCTCCAGCCCCACCTGATGAGCGTGGCCTTCGCACAAGCACACACCAGCGCTGCTGGGGCCGCGCGCTCCACCGTGGCGGCTGCTGGGCTGCTCTGGGCAGCTGTGTTTAGGATCCAAGGCAGCGGAGGCCACTCTCACAATGCTTCTGAGAGCAGAGCAGGCAGCTCCGGGAGCGAAGCCTCGGGTGACCTGCAGAAGCCCGGCCAGGCCGCGGCGCCCCACGGGGAGCCGGTCAGACTCCAGAGGATGTCGAAAAGTTTGTGGAAATGGAGTTTGCTGTGGTGCAAAAAAATGTGAAAGCCGACGAGGGGTCTTCAAGTAGGTCATGGGAAATGTGTTATGTATGGATTCTAGAAACTGTAGGTGCCAAAATAAACTTATCTTTGGATTCCGTTTTTCCAAGAGTTTTCTGCAGGGCCCTTGCACGGGGCCATGCATTCCTTCGAGAACCTGATGAGAAATGCGGTCACCGACCTGTCTTCCATTTCTAGAGCGGGGCTTGTGTCACGGTCTCTCCCCACAGCCACCGGCCGCCCCGCGCCCGGGTGACAGCCCCTGGTGACTCTCCCTCCAGGAAGGGCAGGTCGGGCAGGCGTTCACACTCACTTGTCCACGAACAGGGCTGGGGAGTCGGGCCGGGTGGACTCCAGGTCCTGCATGGCATTCCACTCGTTGATGCAGCTCTGCTCCGAGCCGATGCAGCTCTCGTAGTAGGTGGCCCAGATGAGGGCCACGCCCCCGGGGAAGTAGTTGTGTCTCCGAGCCACTTCGCAGGCCTTGTGAAGGACCTGCAGGGCAGACCTGGGTGAGGAGGGGACAGGGTCAGGCCTGGGAGGGCACAGGAAGTGCTGAGTCCTCCCCTCCCCCATGCCAGAGGGTTTTAGGGCAGTTCATATGGGACTCAGCCTTGGCGTCTCGCTTACAACCAAGGGTGTGGAGGGGGCGCGGTGGCCCGAAGCTCACGGCCACCAGGCCAGAGCTGGCAGCCTCTGCACAGACAAGGGGCTTCAAAAGTCCGTGGGAAATGGAATTCAAAGATAAGCTTATTTTGCTGCCAAAAATGTTCGCGTTCCGTACAGTTTTTCCCTAATACACACTTTCCGTGACCTTTTGGAAGGCCCCGTGTAGGAATGGATCTCAAACGGTTTTTTTGTATCAAAATAAACTTATCTTTGAATTCCACGTCTGTGAACTTTCTGAAGCTCCTCTGTATGTGTTCACTGAGGCCAGGGGTGCACAGAATAGCCTTCTCCATTTCCCAAGATGAAGGAAAAAAAAAAAAAAACAATGAAAAAAAATAAAGCCCACCCAAATCTCACAGTTCTTCCAGTCAGCTGGCTCAGGTGTTGTTTCACATCCCATCAAGTAACTCCAAAGCATCAACATGGACTTCTGGAGTCGCAGTGACCCTGACCACGTGACCCCCGGGGCAGCTGAGCCGTGGGCAGGCCCGGTCGCTGGGGAGTGCGGAGGATTCTGGCTGCACTCTGCATGATTTCATTTCTAACCCTCCCAGCAACGTGGAAATAACTTAGATCTCTTAGGGAAATTGGTTCTAGAAATTCTTGTTAGGGGCGGGTGTTGTGGCGTGGCAGGTTAAGCCAGGGGTTGGGATACTCATATCTGCTATCAAGTGCTGGCTCAGGTCCTGGCTACTCCACTGTCAATCCAGTTTCCTGCTGATGCATCCTGGGAGACAGGCAATGATGGGTCAGGTGTTTGGGCCCCTGCCATCCAGGCAGGAGATCTGGATGGAGCTCCAGGATCCTGGCTTTAGCCTGGCCCAGCCCTGGCTGTTGTGGGCATTTGGGGAGTGAACCAGCAGATGGATGGTCTCTCTCTCTCTGTCACTCCACCTTTCAAGTAGATGAAACTCAGTTTAATACAAAAACTAGGGGATGACACTGTGGTGTAGTTTGTAAAGCTGCCGCCTGTGGTGCTGGCATCCCACATGGGTGCTGGCTCGAGACCTGGCACTACTTCCGATCCAGCTCTCTGCTGTGGCCTGGAAAAGCAGTGGATGGCTTGGATGGCCCAAGTCCTTGGACCCCTGCACCCATGTGGGAGACCTGGAGGAAGCTCCTGGCTCCTGGCTTCCGATCAGCTCAGATCTAGCAGTTGCGACAAATTGGGGAGTGAACCAGCGAATGGAAGACCTCTCTCTCTCTCTCCCTCTGCCTCTGCCTCTCTGTAGCTCTGCCTTTCAAATAAGTAAATAAATATTTTTTTTTTCCAATACAGAAACTAACAGAAGAGCTTGGGGAGGCAGAGTACAGCAGAAGAAACAATATTTTTATTTATTTTTTTATTTTTTTATTTTTTTATTTTTGACAGGCAGAGTGGACAGTGAGAGAGACAGACAGAGAGAGAAAGGTCTTCCTTTGCCGTTGGTTCACCCTCCAATGGCCGCCGCTGCAGCCGGCGCACCGCGCTGATCCGATGGCAGGAGCCAGGATCCAGGTGCTTTTCCTGGTCTCCCATGGGGTGCAGGGCCCAAGCACCTGGGCCATCCTCCACTGCACTCCCTGGCCATAGCAGAGAGCTGGCCTGGAAGAGGGGCAACTGGGACAGAATCCGGCGCCCCAACCGGGACTAGAACCCGGTGTGCCGGCGCCGCAAGGTGGAGGATTAGCCTATTGAGCCACGGCGCCGGCTCCAGAAGAAACAATATTAAAATGGACACGGTTTAGGTATTCGTCATCTTTTATTGCTTTTTATAAAAACACAGACTGAAATTTTCCCCGTGAATTAAGGCCTGGTGGAGGATGGCAGAAGAGGGCCTGGAACGCAGGGATTTATCACACGGCTCAACGATGGGACAGAAAGATCCCAGCCCTGTCACCTCCCCAGGTGTGCAGATCTGCCCTGGCACCAGGCTGGCTGAGGGCACAAACCCATGCTGAACGTTTGCTAGACTTAGTTCTGGTTCTAAAGTTTTGGAAAAAACATAAGGGTCTATTTTTTTTTTTCCCTTCCTTGCCTGTAGAGAAAGAGACAAGACCTCATCCAGAGACACAGAGAGACACCTGGGACACCCACTGCCCACTGTCCACATGATTTCACTTTTCCCCCAGGGACGCCGCATGAGTGCAGTGGGAGGTCAGAGAGGAGGCGACAGTGCAGACAGCGCTCGCCGGGGCAGGCAGAGCTCTGCGCGGTTCTTCCTCCCCGGCCCGGAGAGGCCCGATTACGTCTCAAAGTTGGGCAGAAACCTTCCCATCGGGTGCCACCAGCTCTCTGCTGAGTTTTCGCCCAGATTATTTGAGAGAGAGGTGGCTGCACAGAGATCTGAGCGACCTTCCAAGGAGGCGGAAGCCTCCGAAGATGAGCCTGGTACAGAGAAGCCGTGGAGGGGATGCACCAGTGTCACCTTGGCCCACGGTCACAGAGCCCAGTGCCTGGGGTAACAGCCCCCTTGTCCACGGGTCTGCGGCCACTTCCCTCAACAGACATGAGGCCCCCCAAGGAAAGAGTGGTGCCCCATGCCCAGCACAGGGACATCATGTCTTTCAGGGTGCAGACTGAGCGCTTACTGTGTACAAGCGCAGTGAACCTGTGTGGGAGCCGACGTCTGCCAACAGGAGCTGCAGATACGGGAACTACAGCTGCTTTAGAAAAGTCTGATCCTCCACCTTGCGGCACCGGCACACGGGGTTCTAGTCCCGGTTGGGGCGCCGGATTCTGTCCCGGTTGCCCCTCTTCCAGGCCAGCTCTCTGCTGTGGCCAGGGAGTGCAGTGGAGGATGGCCCAGGTGCTTGGGCCCTGCACCCCATGGGAGACCAGGAAAAGCACCTGGCTCCTGGCTCCTGCCATCGGATCAGCGCGGTGCGCCGGCTGCAGCGGCGGCCATTGGAGGGTGAACCAACGGCAAAGGAAGACCTTTCTCTCTCTGTCTCTCTCTCTCACTGTCCACTCTGCCTGTCAAAAAAAAAAAAAAAAAAAAAAGTCTGGCAGGGGCTGGCATCGTGGCAAAGCAGGTGAAGCCATCACCTGTGATGCTGGCATCCCATATGGGCACCAGTTCATGTCCCGGCCGCTCTACTTCTGATCCAGTTCCTGGCTAATGGCTTAGGAGAGCAGTGGAAGATGGCCCAAGTGCTTGGGCTCCTGCCACTCATGTGCGAGACCAGAACAGAGTTTCCTATTCCTGGCTTCAGGCTGGCCCAGTCCTGGCTGTCGGGGGTATTTGGGGAGCAAAGCAGTGGATGGAAGACCTCTTTCTGTCCCTTACTACCTTTCAAGTAGATGAAGAAGTAAACAAATACACAAACATCAAAACAGAAAAGCTCAACACAAGCTTACCCTAGGGTCAGCAACTTGTTGCCCTGGCTGTGCCCCATGGGAACGGGGAACAGGGACTGGAAGAGCCCCTTGTCCTGGAATGTGCAGGGCAGCCCTCCTCACAGTGGCCAGAGGTGGGAACTAACACAAGTGCGCCCCGGACGCACGGGGGAACACAGCACGTGGGCGCCCAGGCGGCCTGGAGGAGGGTGGGCGTTTGGACACCTGCGACCATGAACCTGGGCCTGGGGACACCGCGCTGAGGCAAGGCAGCCAGGCACCAGGGTCACCAGGGGTTCGTTCCGCCCACACCACAGGGAGACACAGACCCCAGGGGCGGGGGAAACAGAAGGGCACGTTATTGTTGAGGGGGTCCAGCGAACGTTCTGGAAGTGCAGGGGGTAACAGTGGCACAACACTGCTCAGCGCCAAGCCACACGCTCACGAGACGGCAGACGGTGCGCCGTGTGCTGTCTTTCACACACGCGCACGCACGCACCCCAGGAGCCATCGTGCGGTCAGCAGGAAGGTGTTCCTAAGGGACAGGTCCTTAGAGCCACACTCACCACATGGCCTGTACGGACACGGGCTTGAAGATGTGCATCCTCCCAGCGGTGCTCACGCTGAACCCTCTGCCAACGGAAGACACAGAGACAGGCGTGGCGGTGAGAACCCCGATCGCCGTGGCCCGAGGGACTCTGAGGTCCGAGAGCCGCCAGACCAAAAGCCTGGCACAGGGTGGGCGAGGGCGGCCCCTGACACGGTCTCCTCCCCGGTCCCACGACTGCCCCCGCTCACCGCCTATCTTTTCCTCACTGCAGGAAGACATGACAATGGAACACAGTCTAAACGCGAAAACAGCCCCAGACCCCACCACGTTGACGAACCTGATTGTGGAGGCCACGGGCTTGGCCCTGCCTGGCATCTGGGCTCCTCTCTGCTCAGAGCAGCCCCGACGTGCGTCCCTGGGGTGGACACACGCACAGCCTGGACGGTGCTCCATCTCCCATCCACCTGCCCAGCCACGGGGTTCATTCCTCCTCTGTGGCCCCAAGTGGCACCTGACACACTGGTATGCCTGTCAGTCACAGGCTCCGCCCTGGGGCGTCAGCCTCATCCGGGAACCCTGGGGGAGCAGCCCCAGGAGAAGACTTGCATCACCAATTGAGGTAAAGCGACAGATGGCAGCCGCTGCTGCTCCTGAACTTCCCAGGGTGGCAGTCCTGGAAGAGGCCGCCTCCGACGCTCTGTGACCTGAACGGCCTTACGCACGCTTCCCGTGCAGCTCACTGCAGGGCAACCAGCATTTCTCCTCGTGGAGCTGACGTCCACATACCTTAGTCTGTTGCTGATGATCTTTCGAACATGCCCAAGCCAATCTGTGCTTTAAAAACCTGCAGTGAGAGGCGGGCGCTGTGGTGCAGTGGGCTGCGCCTCCAGCATCCCATATGGGTTCTGGTTCGAGTCCTGGCTGCTCCACTTCTAACCCATCTCCCTGTTAATGTGCCTGGGAAAGCAGCAGAAGATGGCCCAAGTGTTTGGGCAACACACGGGGAGACCAGATGGAGCTCTTGGCCAAGCTCTGACCATTGCCATCGGGGGAGTGAACCAGCAGATGCAAGATCTCGCTCTGTATGTCTGACTTTCAAATCAATCAATCAATCTTAGAAAGAGGAACGCAAGCAAGCCTTTTCAGAGGAAAACAAAGCAGACTCTGCAGTGGAAGGGCCTCTGCCTCCTTACCCGTCTCCATCCAGGTGGATTTTCGTGTCGCTCCACAGTCGTAGAACCATCCCAATGGTGCAGCTTTTGCTACAATGCGGGGGGGGGGGGCGGAAGGAAGACGACTGATATCAGCACCCACCCGTGGACATGCACAGGCCTCCCTCCGTCTCCCTCCGTCTCCTCCTGGCCTTTCCAGCTCAGGAGGGAGGCTGCCTCCTGCCCCGGCACCTGGGAGAAGCTCTCAGCTGCTGATTAGGGACCACTTGCCACTGACTTCTAGGGGACACAGGGCCGGGATGGCCCTGCAAGGAGCAGTCACCAGCACAGTTGTCACTCCACGGATGCCCCGAGGAGCACGCATTGGGCACAGGCCCCCTGCAGCGGTGGGAGAGGCCACTGCTGGCTGGAGCTCTGCTGAGGGAGTCCCTACCCAGAGCACAGGGCCAAGGCCCACGATCCTGGGCCGACATGGGAGGAACAGTGCCCACACCATCCAGGCTTCCGTGTGGGCACCTCCTGGGGAGCTGCTGTTTGCCAAACCAGCTTAATCCAGTTTTGTCCTGCCTACCCTCATGGTGAAATGATACTGAGCGACTTCAGAGACTGGCGCCACCGGAAAACACAGAGCGAAGAGAATGCTTTGTCAGAGGATCTCCTCCATCGCGATGGAAATTCCTCGGGCACTTGGGACAGGAACAGAGGCGGCCCGGGAGCAGTCGCTGTCACTGTGCCAGGGCCCCGCCCCTCGCGGACCCAGGGGATGCAGGTGTGCACACCTGTGTGGGAGGGGCACCAGTGCCTCCTCCAGAGCACAGCCCACTCCTCATGCAGGCAGTAATGAAAACCCAAGTTTAATCTGGTGCAAAAAATTTTGAAATCCACGCAGAGAATGGAGTCTTCAAAAAAGTTCACAGAAAAAAAACACCACACCATGATTTCAAAATCACTTTGCACCTAAATAAACTTACCTTTCATTCTCTCTTTTTAGAAACCTCAGTGACGTGCCCCCACACACCTGCCAGGAAGGCAGTTCCGAGGCACTCGGGCCCAGCTGGGGGGAAGCCTACGCCGAGCAGGCTGCTCTGGTGGCCTGCAGCCCCCCAACACCCGATGGGCTGCATGAGCCCCTCTGTGCAGCTCAGGACAACCCGGGGTGGGCCTTGCCGAGTTTCCTGAGCCAGGAAGGGCACTCTTAGGAGCCCACACCCCACGCGCAGAGAGCCCCAGCGGGAGTGTGCCCTGGGACGCCTGGTGTGAGCACCACACCCCCTGCCAGGGCCTGCGAGCAGAGGGAGCCTCAAGAGGCCCAGGGTTGTGTGGGGGGTGGGGTTGCAGAGCCCAGGCTGAGGGACCTTCCAGGGCCAGGAGGGGCTGAAACTGCCCGCAGGAAGCAAGGGAGGGCCCTCCACCAGCCTCCCTCAGACCCAGGACAGGCCCAGCGGGTGAGAAGCCCTCGGGGGACCTTGCTTGAGGCCTCCAGCTACAGCCAAGAGCAGGGGACAGGGCTGCGGCACGACTGTCACAACTCCGCCGGTCCCCTGTGCGCGCGGCTTCCGCAGCGAAGGTGGGACTGTAGGGTTATGAGTGGGGAGAGGGCTAAATGTGGTCAAGGAAACTGGACCTCCTGAGGGGAAGAAAGACCCTGAAGACAAGAGTGGGAGCAGCTTCAGGAGAAGAAAGCAAGTTCCAGGTCCCCGGGGCCAGGACAGCAGGGACCAGAGAAGTCAGCGGGGCCACGCAGGAGGCACAGCAGTCCTGGGAGTCCACTGCAGATGGCAAAACGTGATCGCGGAAGACAGCAGTGTATGCGCACTGCACCGCAAATGTTCCCAATCCGAAATACAGAATTCATCCCAGATGAGCTTGTCGGGTGGCCGCTCTGGTCTCCCGAGCAGGGTGTACAGGTGCACCCGGCTCTGTGTGAGCCTGGGGTGGCTGCCCATCATCCCAGGGTGCACCCAGCTCTGTGTGAGCCTGGGGCAGCTGCCCATCATCCCAGGGTGTACCCAGTTCTGTGTGAGCCTGGGGCAGCTGCCTGCCATCCCAGGGTGCACCAGGCTCTGCACGAGTCTGGGGCGGCTGCCCACATCCCAGGGTGCACCTGGCTCTGTGTGAGCCTGGGGCAACTGCCCATCATCCCAGCACTATCTTTCTAACACTGCATTTGGATTCTCTCGCTGGGAACCCAAGAAGGTTCTGGGCGCTCTGGGCACAATGCTCTCCTCTCTCTTTCTCTGGACTGAACGAAACAAAACCTCACAGCAGGAATTCAGAAAAACAAGCATCTCGTGCCCCCAGCAGGCAAAGGCCACTCTGGTGAGGAGCAGGGCTTTGTTTCCAAGCCAGGGAAGGACACGAGGGCCTGACACCCTGGCAGCACAGGAGCCGCGGGACGCCAGCTCCCAGCACCCAGGCAGTGCCCGGGCGGAGGGTGGCTGCACCGGGTCCAGCGACGGGAAGGCCCCTGAGCTCCCGTTGCCATCAGTCCCTACTGGTGTTCCGCAGCCTCTCCACCTCCCTCTGGTGCACAGGAGGCTTTGGGCTGGCGTCGGCAGGAAGTGAGACCCCAGGCTGAGGGCAGAGGAGGCGAGAGGACCACAGGTCCCGTGAGAACCCAGCCCGGGCACAGCGGACGGGAGGGATGGGCTCTGTAGACGGAGCAGGGGCACGGGGCCCGCGGGCTTGCCTCCCCTCTCCCACATCCTCAGCCCACCCTGAGCATCTCCGCTCGTCTCTGGGGTGGCTGCTTTCTGTGCTCAATGTGTCGGGCCTTGGGGCTGAGAGCTCTGGGTTCTGTTGCCTCCTTGTTTCCCTGGGCCTGGCCCACCGCCTTGTGCACAGGAGAACACAGGTGAAGTGGACGCTTCCCCCACGAGGCGCGTAACAAGGAGGGAATGACGGAGCCCATTTGGCAGGGTTTTAATCAATCCGGGCGCGGCGTGAGTACACCTTTGGCGTCGGGGACGCCCCTCACCTTGGCCTCACACACTTAATGGGCCCTCTGGCAAGCAACCACCTCGACCTCCAGCTCTGGGACATCCCAAGCTTCTCTTTAAGCCTCCGGCCAAGGACTTGCGGGAGTGCTCCGGCACGGACGGAAGCTCCCTGCTGGGGTCTGCCTGCCTGGAAGGTAGCCTTCAGCATTCATGGCCATGGCCACCTTCTTCAGAGGGCATTCATGGCTAAGGTGCCCCCTGTCCACAGCACCAGGGCTAAACCCGAAGCTCAGGGTGACTCAGCTCTCCTCACAAGGGACTCTGAGCTCCCAGAGGGTGGGGCCCGGATCTGACTCAGCATCCTGGGGTTACACCCCCCCCACCTCCTGTGGACGTGAGTCCAGGGACCCCGCAGACTCCCCTCTCCCTGCTGGGGTAATGCACCCCCACCTCCTGTGGACGTGAGTCTGGGGACCCCGCAGACTCCCCTTCCCTGCTGGGGTAATGCACCCCCCACCTCCTGTGGACGTGAGTCCGGGGACCCTGCAGACTCACCTCTCCTTGCTGGAGAAGTCCACTCCCAGCAGGATGTTCTCCTCGGTGTCCTGGCGCCCGCTGCTGTACACCACCACCATGTACCGCACGCGGTCCGCCCAGGCACTCTCCAGGCGCACGGCCTGCAGCGGGCAGAGACGCACTCACCGCCCCGCCTTTCCACCTGCCGCCTCCCTCCCAGGGCCAAACCAAGCTCAAGAGCGTGCTAGCCTTCCCCTCCATGCACCTGGGAGCCGGAGCAGGTTCTCCTTTGCATCCCTAGCACGGGCGACAGTGCCTGGCTCGCAGGAGACACCCAAAATGCGTCCAGAGCAAGCAGATGGCTGTCCTCCTGCGCAGGCTGCCGCGGAGCCCTCGCCCTCTCTCCTTGGGCCTCGGCGGCAAACCCGGCTTGGGTGATTGGGAGCCATCAGGGAAGAAGTGTTCTAACGTAAAAGCTTTCTCCCTGCCAGTCACGGACGACTCCCCACCAAGTGTCACAGTGAAACAAAACTCGCCTCTCCAGGGCAAGGGTGGGGTACAGTGGGTTGATCTGCTGCTTGGGACACGTGCATCTCACATAGGAGTGCCTGGCTGAACCCCAGCTTCCCGCTAGTGCACCCAGACGGAAGCGGTGGTGGCCTAAGTTCTTGGGCTTCTTGGGACACTCAGACTTTGGCCTGCCCAGCCCACGCTGTTGGGGAGTGAACCAGCGAATGGAAGATCTGTCTGACTCTGTTTCTCCCTCTCCATGTCACTCTGCCTTTCAAATAAAGAAAACAACCTTTGAAACTAAACTCTCGCCACTCGCCTCTCTTCTTACCAGCTTGATTCTGTCTTCACAGCGCAGGAGGTTGATCATTACTTGCAGATGCTGGGGCAGGTCACCTGTTGGATCAACACAGAGAGTTTTAAAAGGTCGCCTGCCGACCTAGAAAGCCACCTTGGGGATGCTGATCTGGGGGCCTTGAAGATGGCCGAGCAGTCCAAATCACCCCGCCCCCAGCAGCGGGGGAACCCTGACAAAGACGCACACGGCGTCTGTTCTCCCAAGCACCCTGCAACCAAGAGAGGCGGGCGGCTGGCCTGCTGTCACATGGTGAAGCGTCACTCGTAGTTTCTGAAATAACTTGCAATCCTTTTTTTTTTTTTTTAATTTGAAGTTTGGAAAATGCAGCCAAGCCTAGAGAAGAGCAAGCATGCATTCGGCAAACAGGGCTGGGTGGGCGCGAGCATGGGGGTGGGGCGAGCGTGGGGGATGGGGGCAGGCGCGGCACTGGCAGGGACGGTCACACTGGGAGAGGCATCCACTCGGGGAGAAGAGGCTTGTGTTGCTTTTCCTCTGCAGACCTGTGTGCTCTCCATGGGAGCGTGGTGCTACTTCTATAACCACGGCAGAAAACGCGCAGCTGCGGCTGCAGAGGCTGCAGGCTGGGTGCCCAGAGAAACAGGACAAGCGGCTAGCTCCGCCCTCTTCCCCTTCTTTGCTACATGGTATGTACTGTTTTCTTTTGTTACTTCAAAAAGGAAATGATCCAGAGGCAACCTTCCAGGTTGTCTGAGCAGCCCCAGGGTCCAGAAAGTGACTGTGGGCTGAGGGGAGGAAAGCCCTTAGAGAGTGGCCAAGTGCATGTCCACCTTCAACGCTAGTAGTCCTGGCTACTCCACTTCTGGTCCTGCTCCCTGCTAACACACCTGGGAAGGCAGTAATGATGGCCTGGCCACCCAAGTGGAATGCCAGGATGGAGCTCCTGGCTCCTGGCCTCCGCTTGGCACAGCCCTGGCCATTGGGCCATTTGGGGAGTGAACCAGCAGGTGGAAGCTCGCTCGCTCGCTCTCTTTTTCTCTCTCTCCTTTTCCCTCTCTGTAGCTCTGTCTTTCAAAACAAACAAAACCAAAGGAACCAAAATTGCCTAGCCGAGCAGAACCTCAGTTGCAGGGCTGTGGGGGCTGGGCAGTGGGACTACTGTGATGGACACGCAGCGAGTGACTGCAAGGCCACTTCCCCTTAGCACGTCTATACCGTTCGCAGAGTGTCCCTTCTAAAGAACAGGTTCATTTATAAACATGCTGCCCTGGAAGGAACAAGGGGCAACTTGCAGAAAATCTGTATCAATTCCACCTTTGTGTAACAGCCGCAAAGAAACAGAATTATCTTTTTTGTAAAAAAAAAAAAAAAAAATCAACCCTGCTTACCCACTCCAATGCTCTAGGAGAAAACACTGTGTTTCCTTCTTTTGCAAAAACAAAAACAAAAACAAAAACAAAAACAAAAACAAAAAAAACCACCTTTTTCACTTTAGGCAGCACCCAGCAGGTTCAGATGTGGGAACATTCTGGATTTCACACTGGCAGCTCGGGGCTGCTCCACTTGCAAAGGTCCATGCTGAGAGGGGACCTGGAGCTCCCAGTCTCCTTCCTCTGCCTTGGTGGCACCCACCTGTCATGGCACCCACCTGTTGTGGCACCAAGGCCACAGGCAGGCTCTTCATTCCCCTGGGCCCTGCGCGGCACCCCTCCCCCACTCTGTCTGACAAACGCCGCCACGGAGGGGGCATTTTCCACCCGGCTAAGCTGCTTTCAATGGAGCTGTCTGACAGGACTGCTGACGAACACAAACCCAGACCCTGGTCTGCCAGTCCCTCGCGCAGGCTCTGTGAGGGCCCCCGACCCCACAACTGCGTGCACGGCTCCAATCAGCTCCACTCAGCCCCACTGTGCTCATCCACAGGACTTCATGTGACCCCAGGGAAAAAAGAAACTCATCTGGGGTCCAGTCTGGGTGTGCGCCTGCCCACACCCCCTGCCCTCCTGAGCTCACCGCCCACTGCAAACCCCAGGGGCCGCAGGGCCTGCCAGCCCACCCCAGCGTGCACGCCAGTGCTGCGTGAACCAGCTCGGCATGGGTGTGTTTGCACCGACTTCTCCAGGCTCACGCACAATATGAAGATGTTCGTTGGATGGTGGAAGGAGACGGTCCACACCGAAGTGCGGGGAAGCCTGAGTGTTGGCTGACGCGTGTATTATGGTTAAGGACACAGCCGACGGCCAAGCTCTGAGCAAACTCAAAGTTGAAGGATCTGTTTATAGCTTTATTATGCGAGAGGTCCCTGTAGTCATAATTGTAGCTACACATATTTGAAGGTACTTCAACAAGTTTGTGGGAAAATGGATTTGAGAGATAATGCCAGGGCCGGAGCTGTGGCGTAGCGGGTAAAGCTGCCGCCTGCAGAGCTGGCATCCCATATGGGTGCTGGTTCGAGTCCTGGCTGCTCCACTTCTGACCCAGCTCTCTGCTATGGCCTGGGAAAGCAGCAGAAGATGGCCCAAGCCCCTGGGCCCCTGCACCTGCATGGGAGACCCAGAAGTAGCTCCTGGCACCTGGCTAAGGATCAGCTCAGCTTCAGCTGTTGCGGCCATTTGGGGAGTGAAACAGCGAATGCAAGACCTCTCTCTTTCTCTCTGCCTCTGCCTCTCTATAACTCTGCCTTTCAAATAAATACATAAATCCTAAAAAAAGAAAGATAATGCCGGGGTGGAAGTTTGGCGCAGCTGTCAATCACTCGGGACACCTGCATCTCGTATCGGAGCACCTGGTTCAAGTCCAGGCTCCTCTGCTTCTGATCCAGCTGCCTGCTCATGTGCACCCTGAGAAGCAGCAGGTAATGGTTTAAGTACTTGGGTCCCTGCCACCCATGTGGGAGGCCTGGATTGAGTTCCTGGCTCCTGGCTTTGGCCTGGCCCCACCATGGCTATTAAATAAAACAGAAAAAGAAAAGAAGAAGAAGAAAACACATTTTCCACAAACGTTTTAGGGGTGAGGGTGATGCAGGAGGTAGGGATGCTACGTGCACAGTTTTTAATTTCTGCACCATCTCGGGTACCAGCACTGGAAACTCTTTGTCCAGATTAGGAAGCAGGCTCAGCAGCCCGCCCCTGACTGCTCGGCACGCCACAGAACTGGAACTGGAAGCCAGGTCTAACTGGCTCCGAAGCAAGTATTCTTTCCAAAAACCCCACTGCTGGGGCTGGCGCTGTGGCGTAGCAGGTTATGCCGCTGCCTACGGCACCAGCATCCCATATGGGCACTGGTTCGATTCCTGGCTGCTCTGCTCCCTGGTAATGTGCTTGGGAAAGCAGCGTAAGACAGGGGCCTCTGCACCTGTGAAGGACATCCAGGAAAAGCTCCCGGCTCTTGGCTTCGGACCAGCCCAACTCTGGCTGCTGTGGCCATTTGGGGAGTGAATCAGCAGAAGGAAGATTTCTCTCTGTCTCTCCCTCTCTACCTCTCTCTCTCTCTCTCTCTCTCTGTAACTCTTTCAAATAAATAAATAAATCTTAAAAAACAAAACAAAACAAAAACCCACCCCACTTCCTCCTTTTGCAGGAGACTCATTTGCTTAGCTTAAGACAAACCACATCTCGATGACAAATATCACTCCATGCAAATGCTGACTTGTGGGGTTGGAGATGAACGACAGGCATGGAATTCTACCCTAAGCACTCCGATCTAAAGATGGGGCTGGAGGAGCTGAAGTGAACACAGGAGATGATCTCTGTGGACAAGAAAACAGCCCACCTGCGAGCCGGCTGCACCTGCGAGCCGGCGGCACCTGCTGTTCTGAAAGGACAAGGCAGTCCCAGCTCCCGGACCTGCGCTGAGAGGCTGGGACCTGCTGACGGGGTCACGTGTCTGCAAACCCTGAACTCCTCTCTCCGTGGTGCCTTCGGCTCCAGGCTCCAGTCACTTCGGAAAGTTGGTCCTGTTCCTCCACAGGCATTTCTCACTACCTTGCCCTTGGACCCAAGTTAATGCCCAGTTTGATCCCTATTCTGTTAATTCTGTCCAATTCCCGAAACCCACGTCGCCATCACAAAGGCCTCCTATCCCGGCGCAAACCTCAGAGTGCGAGCCAATGGCTCTTCAGAGAAATTTCCCAGATGAGAGATTTTTGAATGCCGTGAGCAACAGCACGGGGATAACACCTTCCTATCACGCACCTTGGAGCCATCTGTTAGGGTGTCACACTGAAACTTACCACCTGCAGGGAGCTGATGGACCATGTGTAGGAATTCTTTACATCCTGCTAGGACGCCTGCTGCTGGCCACCCTAGCCCCCAGTGCCACCTGGAACAGGTGCAGGCCTGCTCATGGAATGAACACCTGCGTGTCTGCCTGCATCTGTGCTCCTGCATCTCTGGCCTGGACACCCAGCAAAGTGCTCACCACCGACACAGCGAGGCTACGCAGAAAACGAGTCCCAGCGCAAGAGAACAGACTTGGACATCACCTGCATGCTTGTGGGGGTGCTGAAGACTCCGCTGGCCTTGGGCACTGCTCCCCTGTTGCAAGAAGAGGGCTGCTCCTTTCACCATGAAAAAGCTCTCGCTCAGGCTGCAAAGAACAAAACCAGAGCTCGGTTAGAAGGGAATTCGGAGGGGGAGACGGGCAAAGGGTGCTGCAGAGGAGAAGCGCGGAGCGGACCACGGGCAGGTACAGTGTGAACGGCAGAGTCATCTCCCCGCTCCCTGCCCAAGTCTCGCCTTTGCCAACATCACGGTGCTTCTGCTCACACACCACAGCCCGCGTTCTCAGGCCGGGAGGTCCTTCCTGCAGAACACTGGGATGGGAACTCACTGGGGTACAACATGTTTCATGCACACAGAACACCCCCAGCTAGGAGCCGGCGAGCCCCTGGGAGAATCATTGCTTCCAGCTGCCTGACTGCACAGCGGCCCTGGATGGACCACAGGGAAGAGGAACTCACGGCATCGCTAGCTGTTTGCCTCTCCGCAGAAGTGGGCGGCTACTGACCAGAGACCTAGCTCACTCCAGGCTACCCTGGGCACTGTGCCTACAGAAAAGCCCGGCTGACCAGAGGGTGTCTCAGCAGGACAAATCTGAGGCTTTTGTTGTAGAATAACTTCCTATATGGCTTATGAAATCACAATGAGAATCTTCAGCTTATGCAGAAATCAAGACACAGAAAAGCTTCACTTACTGATTCCTATTACTTTATTCAAAACTGTCCACAACTGTGAGAATCACCCATAAAATACCCCGACGTCTTCAGTAGCAGTTGGCGGGGAGGAGGGCGGGACCACCTGTCTGTCATCTTTCTACCCCTTAGTGTTTACCAAATTTGCTATATTAAGCAAAAGCTAACTTTAAAAAACGACCATTTGCTTGATTTTCAAAGCAACGGAAAACATATTAAACAGCCTTTCATTCTTATTAACTTTGTGAAAGAAGACCACGGTTCAAATTATAAATTATCATAAAAAGAATCCTCTCTTGAGCAACCAACTGACACACAAGTAATCCGGAGGGAAAACCTCTGAGCACAAGCAGTCTCGTTTTGCTGCTGCTAGAACCCTGGACTCGGGCAAGTCAGAACCTAAAGGAACGCAAGCGTGTCTTCCGTCCTTTACCCGAGCAAGTTCATCTTGCCCCAGACCTCGAATGTCAGTGGTTACATGTGCTGATCCCAGAAGGAAAAACCTCAGCTCATCTACAGCACAACTCCACGTGCTAATGAAACAGCGCACGAACCAGCATTTTACATCAGCAGCTCCTGAAGTCAGGAAAGCCACCATCTGTCATATTAAAGACCACTGTCTTTTAATATTTTAAATAAATAATCTTTTAAAAAAGATTTTATTTATTTATTTGAAAGTTAAGAGTGGGGGGGGTGGGGAGAGGGAGGGAGAGGGAGAGAGAGAAAGAAGAAAGAATCTTCCATCCTATTGTTCACTCTCCAGATGCCTGCAAGAACTGGGTCCTGGCCAGGCTGAAGCCAGGAGCTGAGTACTCCATCTGGTCTCTCCTGTGGGCGGCAAGGACTCAAGCACTTGGGCCACCACCCACTGACTTCCCAGGAGCAATGCAGGAAGCTGGATGAGCAGAGGAGTAGCCAGGACTGGATGCAGGCTTCCCAGGTGGCGGCTTCACCTGCTGCAGCCTAACACCTGCCCTCCCGCCACGCGCTCCGTGTATTTCCTAACATCAACACTGAGAGCTGTGCAGCGTGTCACCGCACTGCCAAGTCCTCCCACCGCTTCTGGGGGCTGCAAGTTTTGAGTGTTGGGAGCCCGGGGTTACAAATAAGCAAAGAAATGAGAAGCACCCGTCTCCACTCGCAGCCTCAGCCTCACGGGCTGCTCGGTGCCCACCCGGCCAGCTCAAGATCTCTGCGCCTCCCTGCAGTAGCTGCACGACGGCCTCCCGCTTTTCCACGCCCTCCCCTTCCTTAGGATTTTACAGCTAAGCCTGCTGTCCCAGCCATCCCATTTCAGACACAGCTCCATCGCTACTTCTCATCAGAGCCTGGCAGGGGCTGTGCAGAGGGCTCCCAGCCCACAAAACAGCACAGCTGGGCCACCTGCCCAAAGCAGCATCGACCTCTGTTGTTTGCAAGTTTAAAAAAGAAAAACCCACAAAACCCCATACTGACCAGAGACGGGGCGCCGAGGAAGCAGCCACCCGTCACCTGTGACCTTTGCCTTGGAAAGCACGGGCAGAAATTTCCCTTGGTTTCCCTAACACTTCTTTTGGGAAAAAAGGAAGCAATGCAAAGAACAGGTTGGTTTCGCCCTGCGATCCCCCACAAGCCTCTGGCTCCCAGAGCCAATGAGAACCCAAGCCGCCCCCTGCACAGTCGGCTGGGGTCAGGGGTGGGATTGTACTGCTGGGGCCTGGAACACAGCAGGCGTCTTGGTTCTCCCTGGGCAGTCAGTGACTCGGGTTTACTGTACAGAGCGCAGCCGAACACTGCAGGGAAGCCCAGGAGCACATGGTGCTGAGGTGAGCGATCACGCGGCGTCCTGGGAAGCCACACGCCAGGGGCAGGAAGGCCAGGGAGCATGGTCACAAGACGCAGAGACCCCCCTGAACCAGCGTGCTGGGGCCCCAGGCTCAGGAACCCCCAGTGTGGCTGATCTCAACACCGCCAAGGGACTTCAAAGCATCCGAGGAAAATGGAATGAAAAGCTTATTTTGGTGCAAAAAAAACCACCAAAACCCTGAAACTCATGTCTAGCTTTTCCCCCATAATATGCACATTCCATGAACTTTCTGAAGACTCTAATGTTTATGACTGACAGTCCAAGCACGGCCCCCGGCTGGTCAGAGCCTCAGAGCAGCCCCTGTGGGTGAAGTGGGCATTTAGACATCCATGTCCCACATCAGGGTATCTGGGCTTGATCCCAGCTCTGGCTCCCGACTCCAGCTTCCTGCTAACACACCCCTGGGGAGGCAGCAGACAGCCCAAGTGCTTGGGCCCCTGCAGCCATGTAGAAGACCCGGAAGAAGCTCCTGGCTCCCACCTTCGGTCTGGCCCAGCTCTGGCCATTGTGACCATATGGGGAGTGAACCAGTGGATGGCAGATCTGTCTCTCCCTGTCTCTCCCTCCTTCTAATTCTGCCTTTAAAAAAACAAACAAACCAAAAAAAACAAACCAGGGGCCAGCGCTGTGGTGTAACAGATAAAGCTGCCACCTTCAGTGCTGGTATCCCATATGGTTGCCAGTTCGAGTCCCGGCTGCTCCACTTTTGATCCAGCTCTCTGCTATAGCCTGGGAAAGCAGCAGAAGATGGCCCAAGTCTTTGGGCCCCTGCACCTGCATGGGAGACCAGGAAGAAGCTCCAGCTCCTGGCTTCGGATCGGCCCAGCTCCAGCCATTGTGGCCATCAGGGGAGTGAACCAGTGCATGGAAGATCCCTCTCTCTCTCTCTCTCCCTCTCTCTGCCTCTCCTTCTCCCTCTGTGTAACTCTTTCAAGTAAATAAATACATCTTTAAAAACAAAACAAAACCAAAACCTCGTTCCATGCTGGTAATGGTGCGCACCCTTTCCTGGGTACTCGGGAGGAAGATGCCAAGCCCACAAACCCACCATCGCGGCTCCAGAAACCAGCCTCAGCTCTGGTCAGCATCCTACAGGGGGGACCAGGGCCGCAGATGACCAGTCCCGGACAAGCAAACAGAAGCACGTCCTTCTGCTCCACAGAAGCTCCACCAGGGCTTGAAGAGCAGGCGCGGCCACGGCCTCCCTGCCACCCTCCTCCAGGCTTTCCCTTCACAAGGCAAAGGCAACCTCGGGCCCTGACGCCAGCCGGGGGCAAAGACCCCAGCAGAGCGGTTTCCGCAAGGCAGGGGACACGCAAAACCCCCAGGCCTCGGAGCACCCACAGCCAGCACCACCTGGAAACGGACACGGGGAGGAGAGAGGAAGCTGCCCGGGGCCATACGTACGGACGCGGGCTGCACACCTCGCGGCGGCGGGCATGCCGGCTCGGCCGCAGGAAGACGCAGAAGTCGGTGAAACACAAGAGGCTCATGACTGCCAGGCTCACAGTGCCTGCGGGGCTCCCACCACGGCCGCTCCCCGCAGAGGAAGGGCCCGACGGAGCGCAAGTGGTCCCGTGGGTCTCTTGTCTGCCTGGTATTTTGGCTGAAAAAGGCCCTTGTCCCGGCATCTGCTGATGAAAGCGCCATTCACAGGGAGCGGCCCCGCTGAAGTGCCTCCGACCACGGTCCTCCCACGGGCCTCGGGCACAAGCAAGAGCGGGTGCCTTAGAGACCAGGGGGAGGCCAGCTGGCATCCAACTCACAAGCCCCAGGCGGCCAGGGCCCCAGCCGGCTTGACGGCCACTTGGTGAAGGCCGCTCCTTGCTCTCCCATCCCCACCAGCACTGCTCGCCCACTGGGGACCAAGGCGGCCGCCAAGCTGAGCCATTCTGCACGGGGAGTGGCACTGTCACCCCCTGAACATGCTTCAGTCGTGCGAACAGCTCCAGGAGGGGCCCTGGTGACCCCTTCGCTGGGGACATCCAGGGAGAGGGAGCCATAGGTGCATGCACAGGGGCTTGAGACATGCCGTGGCCAAGGCAAGCGCAGCAGGAGCTGGAGGAGGCTAAGACAGGGTGGAAGAGGCCGAGGTGCGCAAGCGAGAAGTGGGCACCTAACCAGGGGACCAGTCACTTCCTGGAGGAGGCAGCACCTCCCGGGACGGCTCTATGTGCAAGGGCACCAGCTCCCACGTGAACGGTCTGAGGACTCCGTGAGACGCACACTTTTGTTGTGGGCTTCTGCTCTGGCAGGTAAGGACAGCACAGCACACACCCAGGAGCAAGTCTGTCCAAGACGGGAGAGACCCACGTCTGTGCCCGCCCACTTGCCAAGGCCCTGGAAGACCATTCCTGCTAGTCCAGAGCGAGACTTGGGGCCACTGTCCCACTATCCCCTCTGCCCATGCCTGTCCTGGCGGCTGACAGCAGGGCTGGATGCACGCAGCATGGAAGAGGACAAGGCCCAGGTGACATCCTCAGCCTCTCTTCCCAACATCTGAACACTTGAAGGGCACAGGAAAGAGGGAGAGGGACAGTTCAGGGGCGGGAGCTTGCGCAGGGAAGAGTGGGTGTCAGGGCCCAGGAGCAGGGTGGAGGACCCACCGCCACCTTCCCAGCTGTGGCTGGGACCCAGCCTTCCGTCCTTCGGTGCAGAGTGGAGCTGCTGAGGGGTTTCCAGAGCCAGAAACCAAGGAGCTGCTCTCCAGGTGGGTTTCTCGTGAGTGGGACAATCGCTCTGAGCTGCAGCAGGGACGGTGGCAAGCACTGAGCCATGCACCCGATTTCCACAGCTCTGGGGCAGGCGACCCTCTCTGCGATGAATGAATCACTCAGAGCTTCAGAAGTGGAACCCCAGGGTTCCCTGGCCGATGCCTCCCCCTCTCTCTCCAGAGACGAAGGAGAAAGGTTTTCTGCAGGTGAGGGAAACCCCAGCAGCGACACATGGTCGCATGGGAAGGGAGCAGCACCTTCAGGTACAATCAAGGGCAGCTTCCTGGGCCCAAAAGGAGAAATGCAAAGAACCCACCACAGCACGGTAACACCCTCCTTGGAAGCAGCAAACGGAGAGGTGAGCGGAACCCTTCCCACGGTGCGGGGCCCAAGCACCTGCTCGGGGCGCCTGTGAGACTTCCTCCTACAAGAAGCGGGCTTGACACCCTGGGTGGTTTCCAGTTCCCCACCGCTTCCCAGTTCCTTAATGGGGCTGATCCCGAGACGGCCTTATACAACTTCCTCCCAGCAGCCACTTCACCGTGGGACAGCTCTGCATGTCTGTGACCGCGCCCTCCCCCTGCTCCCCACCCCGCCGCCCCGTGCTGTGTGGACTCTGCACATAGGCCACAGTGTCCACCTCTGCCACAGTGGGGCTTCCTGGAACTCACGACTGTTACACCAAACCCTCAACAAGAACTCGCCTGGGGACACCTGTGTGGATGACACGCCGCTGCCCCAGGGGTCCCCCTTCCATGAGCTCTCTGTGTGCGTGTATGCATGCATGAGTGGCCTCTAGGTGTGTGTGCCTTGCACCCCGCACCCCCAGGACCTCTAAGTAGTAAAATCTTTATTTCCATCCTGTCTCTCCTGATCATTGCAGGGGGTACTCTCTGTCTTAGAGATTCTAAATTAAAACAATCATCAATAGACTTGCACAGCGCAGGTCACGCATTTAGGCTGGTGAAAACATCTGGCTTCCACCCCACAGCGCCTCGGCTCAACACCCAGCTCTGGCTCCTGACTCCAGCTTCCTGCTAATGTAGACCCTGGGAGGAGGCTGTGATAATGGCTCAAGGGCTTGGGTCCCTGCACCCCACATGAGCCCTGGACTGAGTTTCTGGCTCCTACTTCATCTCTCGCCCCCATCTAGGGTGATTGCAGGATTTGGGGGCAGTAAACCAGCAGAGGAGAGCTTTCTCCCTCTCTCTCTCTAATACATCCCCATCCCACGTTGGAGTACCTGGGTTCACGCCTGGCTCTGCTTTGACTCCAACTTCCCGCCAAGGCAGACCATGGGAAGCAGCAGTGACGGTCAAGACCATGGGTTCCGGGTCCAGATTGAGTTTCCGGCTCCTGGCTTCAGCCAGCTCCTAGCCATTGGGGGCATCTGGGGAGTGAACCAGGACACGCACGCCCTGTTCTGGATCTCTGCCTGCCTCTTAAATTGAAAAAAAGACAAAAAGGCAAGGTCCTCTCAGAAAGGGAGCAGCAGCGTGCGATACGGTAAAGAGGAGCCGCGCTAGGGTTGAAGCCCTCTCTGGGAGCGGCACGAGTAAGCGCACCTGCCTGTCTCCAACCAAGCACTTCGGAGTCACAGAGGTTCTCACCCACCGAGGGGGCCGCACGTTCTGACAACAGCAGTAACGGCGCCCTACGGCGTTTGAGAAGCTCTGCTGAGGACAAAGCACTCCCGCCAACGTCAACTCATTCCATCTCTGGGAAAACTGTAAGGCGGACCGAGCAGGCTAACAACGAATCTGTGCCCAAGGGAACAGGGAGTTCCTTAGACGGCACGGCGTTAGGGGTCCGGACGCTGTATCTCACAAAGAAACCAGGAAGACGAGTCTCCAGTGTAGGTTCTGTTGGCTGGACAGGCTGAAACCCCCCGAGTCACCTGTTCGTGGGAAGAATCAACCTGGGGCTGAACCCGGCACTGCAGGGTGCTTCCCAGGGCGCTGCGGCTCACCCAGGGGACTTCACGGTAATTCTAGGGAAAAAGGGAACTAACGCAAAGCTGTCGCCACAGAAAAGATGGGTGTGGCGCAGGGCCCGTGACACAGCGGGCTAAGCCGCTGCTGGGGACACCCGCGTCCCATATCGGGGTGCCTGGCCAGAGTCCCAGCGGCTTCATGCTTCCGACCCAGATTCCTACTGATGCTCCGGGGAGGCAGCAGGAGACAGCCCACGTCCTTGGGTTCCTGCCACCCACATGGGGGACAAGGCTGAAGCTCCTGGCTCCTGAAAAGGGTCTGGGCCTGATCCAGCCCTGGCTGTTGGGGAGGCATTTGGAGGGTGGACCGGTGGATGGAAGATCTCTCCCTTTCTCTCTCCTTCTCTTCCTCTCTCTTTCTGTTACTCTGCCTTTCAAATAATAATAATAAAAAAATCTTTAAACAGAAAAAATGGTGCCAACAAGCTCTCCCAAGAGGAGGTTCTGTTAATCATGTTTATATGAACAAGTATTTAACAAGCATCTATCCCAACGCTAGATCCTGGGAACTCCGACACGAACCAGACCCCGTTTCTGCCTTGGAGCAAGGGTCAGCGGGGCCTGGGGCAGTCACTCCAACACACAGCAGCAGCTCCTACGGCACAGGGCCAGACGGGGGCTGCAGATGCACATGGAGGGAGACCTGGAAGGATCCTCAACCTGAGGGGGTGGGAGCGAAGGAGTAAGAAGAATGCCCTGGGTGTGTGTGGGGGAACGTTCAAGGTCATGGGAAAATGGGGTTAATTAAAAACAGTGCACATTACCCATGAGCCTAATAAAGCCCCCCATGCGAGACATACCCTGGGGGAACAGAAGAGAAATTGGGGTTTGATGTGGAAGTCCCCACTGTAGATTCATAAATGTGAGTTTATGCGTATTGCTCTGCACATCAGTTCCTTGTAAGTGTGGTTAGCACCACACGTCGGTTCCTGGTAAGTTCGGTTATCCCTGAGTGAACTCACAAGTTCAAGTTTCAGAACGTGCACGCTCACAACCAAATCCTAGGGTTAGCAGCTGAGCAACGCAGCTGTGGACACAACAAGTTCTCAGCACGCAAACGCCTGGTCCGCGAATACTGCTTCAAGTAAGCCCCCAACACTTCCGGCTACAGGTGCTCTACAGTCTCCCACAGGGGGCTTGCCCTGCGCTCCCCCCCCCTCGAGTCTTACAACTCCACTCTTCTGACGGAGGGTCGGGAGACGCACGGCGCATCAGCAGCCACGTGGCTGAGAAGGGGCACAGCAGGACGGGGAGGCTCCAACCTTGACCGCCTTCCTGCAGAATCCCAGGGCCAGAGGGCAGGGCCATCTCACTCATAACAGCAGCAGGTAAAGCTGATGGACGGTCACCTCGAGACCACGGTGACGCTCAGACGGATGGGGAACCCCAGTTCCAGCAAAGGGAGGCTCAGGGAGACGCAAAGAAGAGCAGACCACCTGCAGAGAGCTCAGCTAAGACGGCAGGTGGAATGGAACATTCTCTCCACGCCTCTCCCTCAGCTTCCCTCACTCATGCTTCAGAGTCACAAGGACTCCCTCCCCAGCGGGGAGGGTACCAAGGTCTTGGTCATTCTTAATTTCGTGCTTTCTAACGCCATCTAGCAGGGTCTGGTCCCAGACACCATCCTTCGGAAGGAAAGGAAACAAGTGACCCTAGGGACACACCTGCCCACCGGGGCTCCCCGGAACACACACTGCTGACAACAGGAACATTCCAGCTCCGCGGGTGCTGCCCAGGAAAGGGGGCCCCCGGGCAAGCAGCGCCGGGGCTGGTTACCAGCGTCCCTGCGGCTGGGGCATGCATTGTTTGGCTGGAAGGCGTGGGCTTCTCTCAGGGAGAAGGAATGTTCACAAGTATTTCAGACAGCAAGAGGCATTCCCCAGCCAGCTCCCCACCTCTCCCTCATACCAGCTCCACCTCCCAGCAAACACACAAAAGCAGAACTTGTTTTCTGCACCAAGAAGACAGCGAGTGCTGTGCTCGGCCTTGGGCTCAGCAGACCAGGAGGGAGCGCCCTGATGACCCCCAAGGGCTCCCGGGCCCCTGGGAGCTGCAGCCAGTGCTGCTGCTGTTCTTCTTGGGGCAGCTGGCCGGCACGCCAGGGGCTGAGCCCCCTTAATGAGGCCGGAAGGTATAAAGGCTGCATTGTGGCAGGAAAGCTAAGACGACCCGGCCAGCCAGAAGTAACAGACACACGGAGGAAATGTCTGTGCAACAACTCAAAAGCCCCAAGAATAGACTGTCTCCACTACTCCAGGTGCCTGGCCCTGTCGTTGGTATGCAGCCCCGCCCCATACCCACTCCTCACCGCGCCCTGACCTTGTAAGGGGCCCCTTCCTTGCCTCGGTCTGTGGGTCGTGCAGAATCCACGCACCCCACTGTGTCTGGCTCCATGCCCGGCACTCAGAAAGTCCCTCAGGTCACAGCTGTCCTCGGCAGCAGCCAGATTCTCCGTGGGCGCTGTCCAACATGGCAGCCCCCAGCCAGGCCTGCTTTCTCGACACTTAGTAGTGCTGGGGCGGTGTCTGGTGCAGCAGCTAAGACCCCCCCTTGGGATGTCTGCACCCCATGCCTTTGCTCCTCTCCTGGTTTTGGTTTCCTGCTAACGTACAGCCTGGGAGGCAGCAGCTGTTGGCTCAGGTGGTTCAATCTCCCGTCACCCAGGTAGGAGGCCTGCAGTGAGGACCTTGCTCCCGGCTTCAGCCCAGACTGTCGTAGGTACTTGGGGTGTGAACCAGCAGATGGAAGATCCCCACCCTGCCCCGCCTCTCAAATAAATAAGCAATTTTTTAAAATGTAGTGAATGTGGGGCGGGCACTGTGGTACAGCAGAGTGGGTCACCGCGTGGGACACTGGCATCCCATGTCGGAGTGCCAGTGAATGTCCCAGCTACTGCACTTTTAATCCAGCTTCCTGCTAATGCACCTGGGAAGGTAGCAGAAGACGGCCTAGGTTCCTGGACCCCTGCACCCCCGTGTGAGGCCCAGATAGGGTTCCTGGCTCCTGGTTGGCCCAGACCTGGCTGTTGCAGCCATCTGGGGGAGTGAATCCGTGGATAGAACATATCACTTGCTTTCTCTATCCCTCTACCTTAAATGAATAAATGTTTTGAAAATAAGTGTACTGAATGCAACTGAGTCATTTGTCATTTTATTTAGCTTCTGTGGATCGAAGTGTAATTATGTGGCTGCACAGGGTTAGCAGCCAGGGTGTGGCACAGCACAGCTCAGGCGCCTCCAGCCTGCTCCACACAGCTCCTAACCACAGCTCTGCAGTCCCTGCTGCCCAGCCCGGGGGCTTTCAACGCTGCACCGTCACTGAGAGACTCCACACTGCTCGTGCTGTCCACGGCAGCCATAACTATGCATCCACGTCATTAACCCAAGCTTCATTCAGCTGGCATTCCCTAACCTCAAAGTGCTTATCCTGCTATTAGAAACAATACTTTCTGGGGCCAGCGCTGTAGCATAGTGGGTAAAACCACCGCCTGCAGTGCCGGCATCCCATATGAGCACCGGTTCTAGTCCCGGCTGCTCCACTTCCGATCCAGCTCTCTGCTGTGGCCTGGGAAAGCAGTAGAAGATGGCCCAGGTCCTTGGGCCCCTGCATCCATGTGGGAGACCCGGAAGAAGCTCCTGGCTTCGGATCGGTACAGCTCCAGCTGTTGCGGCCAATTGGGGGAATGAACTAACGGATGGAAGACCTCTCTCTCTGTGTAACTCTGACTTTCAAATAAATCAATCAATCTTAAGAACAAATGAACAAACCTCCCGCGGGTGACCTCGAGGCGCTGCTTTCCCCACATGCTGCCCCAAGCGTTCTCTGTGCTGCCCTCAGAGACACCACTGTCCTCACAAGCCTCGCTCCTCTGGCTCTGTGCACAGCTCTCGTCCTGTCTGCCTCCCACACAGCACCTGCCATCCCGAGCGCACACCTCCTCCAGGAAGCCCCAGCACCCTAGCGGCAAGCCGAGACTCCTCCCTTTCAGCATCGTCCAGGGCCTTCTCTCACTCCCGCCAGGGAGCAAACAGGCTCCGGGGTTAAGTCACTCACCCAGGGTCTTCCCACTCAGCAGGGGAAAGGACCGAATCCCAGAGCCTGGCCCCTGACCCATCATCTACCAGGCGCAGGGACGCCTGAACCTCAGGGTGCACTCAAGGGCCAGGACACAGACAACTTTTTAAAATGGAAACCACCCCAGTGGCCATTAAAAAAAATAATAACTAAAATTTCATGTATTTGTTTGGAAAGCAGGGAAAAAGACACACAGAGAGACAGAGACAGAGAGAGGTCTTCCATTCACTGGTTCACTCTCCAGATGTCTGCAACAGCTGGGGTCAGGCCAGGCCAGGCCAGGCTGAGGCTGGAGCGGCATTCAGGGCCCCGACTTGCACCATCACTGGCTGCCCCCCAGGCTGTGTGGGCATCAGCAGGGAGCTGGGACCCGGAGAGGCGCTGGGATTCAAATCCAGGAGGCAGGCAATCCAAGTGGCGCCTTAACCACTGCACCACACAACTTTTCTTTTCTTTCTTTTCTTTTTTTTTTTAAGATTTATTTATTTACTTGAAAGTCAGAGTTACACAGAGAGAGGAGAGGCAGAGAGGGGGGGGGGGTCTTCCATCCGCTGGTTCACTCCCCAGATGGCCACAATGGCTGGAGCTATGCTGATCCGAAGCCAGGAGCCAGGAGCTTCTTCCAGGTTTCCCATGCAGG